TGGACTGACTGACCCACACCCAGGGAAAAAAGAAAAAAAATTGATAATAAGCAATAACAACAAAAAGACATGTAGTAAAGAGGGTGGGGCACTCTGAATGCCGAAGAGGGGGAAGGGGCAATCCCTCACAGAATTGTAAATAAACAAACTGGCCAGAGAAAGCAGGAGCAACGGCACATGCCCAGCAACCAGGAGCGGGAAAGCTTGTAAAAGTGGCAGTGGGAGGAAAACTCCAAAGGAGAGGGGGGAAGACCCACTTCCCATGTGAACTATAAATAAATATGCTGGCCTGATAAAGCGGGTGCAGTGTCACCTCCCCCAGTGTGCTTGGAAAGGGGAAAGCTTGTAGCAGTGGCATCACGCCCAGGAGAACTCTGAGTAATCAAAGCCTGCGGGGCCAGGTGAGTGTTAAGCTCACCCCTGAGACCTGCATAAATAAAGACTCCAGCAACAGCAGGCTGACAGCAGTGGGCAGGTGAGCCACAGCCTCAGATAGACATTCACAGAACTGTCTCCAGACTCTTTTTATTTCTCCCTACCTTTGATGAGACAACCACCGAACTATACCTGCAGGCTGAAAAAGTTACTGAAACTGTATTGCATTTGAACTTGGGACACTTTGTGTTGTTTTTTTTTTTCCTTCTGTTTTGTTTTTGTTTTTTTGGATTATTTCCCCTTTGATGAGACAAAACAGAAGTACTTCTGAGACACCATCTCCAGGATTGGAGGCTGAGGGACTAACACCAAAATTATCAAGACTGAAATTTTATTGCATTTGAACTTGGAGATTTTCTTTTCTCAATCCTCTCTCTGTCTCTCTAATGCCTGTTCAGCTTATTGTTTATTAGTACACTATCTCTCCCTGTTTATATCTTTGAAACATTTTTTGATTGTTTGTTTTGGTTTTTTTTGTTTGTTTAATTGTTTTTCCCTCTTTCTTTAACTTCTTTGCTTTACCTCTCCTCTCACCATTCCATTCTAAATATCACCATTGTTATTATTACAAGCTAGAAAATACTTAATTGCACACAGTACAGGGACAATAACAACACCAAGGGCAATGACAGGAAGACAAAAAAAACAGAGAAACCAGTTTCCCCACAGCAAAAAATTAGTACAGGAATCTGAGGGAAATGAAGAAAACAGATATTCAGATACAAAGATCTTAATATCAGACCACAAACTCTAAAGTTGACACAGAAAAGAGTAGGAAATACTCTGGAGTTAGTAGGTATAGGTAAGAACTTTCTCAATGGAACCCCAGCAGCACAGCAACTAAGAGATAGCATAGATAAATGGGACTTCATAAAACTAAAAAGCTTCTGCTCAAAAAAAGAAATGGTCTCTAAACTGAAGAGAACACCCACATAGTGGGAGAAAATATTTTCCAGCTACAAATCAGACAAAGGACTGATAACCAGAATATATAGGGAACTTAAAAAACTAAATTCTTCCAAAACTAATGAACCAATAAAGAAATGGGCAAGTGAACTAAACAGAACTTTCTCAAAAGAAGAAATTCAAATGGCCAAAAAACACATGAAAAAATGCTCACCATCTCTAGCAATAAAGGAAATGCAAATTAAAACCACACTAAGATTCCACCTCACCCCTGTTAGAATAGCCATCATTAGCAATACCACCACCAACAAGTGTTGGCGAGGATGTGGGAAAAAAGGAGCCCTCTTACACTGTTGGTGGGAATGTAAACTAGTACAACCATTCTGGAAAAAAGTTTGGACACTACTTAAAAAGCTAAACATTGATCTACCATTTGATCCAGCAATACCACTCTTGGGGATATACCCAAAAGACTGTGACACAGGTTACACCAGTGGCACCTGCACACCCATGTTTATTGCACTATTCACAATAGCCAAGTTATGGAAACAGCCAAGATGCCCCAGCACTGACGAATGGATTAAGAAAATGTGGTATCTATACACAATGGAATTTTATGCAGCCATGAAGAAAAACGAAATGTTATCATTCGCTGGTAAATGGATGGAATTGGAGAACATCATTCTGAGTGAGGTTAGCCTGGCCCAAAAGACCAAAAATCGTATGTTCTCCCTCATATGTGGACATTAGATCAAGGGCAAACACAACAAAGGGATTGGACTTTGATCACATAATGAGGCGAGAGCCCACAAGGGCGGTATGAGGATAGGTAAGACACCTAAGAAACTAGATAGCATTTGTTGCCCTCAATGCAGAGAAACTAAAGCAGATACTTTGGGGCAACTGAGGCCAATAGGAGAGGGGGACCAGGAACTAGAGAAAAGGTTAGTTCAAGAAGAATTAACTTAGAAGTTTTGTACAGGAAATCAATGCAAGTCAATTCCCTGTATAGCTATCCTTATCTCAACTAGCAAAAACCCTTGGTCCTTCCTATTATTGCTTATACTCTCTCTTCAACAAAATTAGAGATAAGGGCAAAATAGTTTCTGTTGGGCAGCAAGGGGATATGGGGGGAGAGGGAGGGGATAGGGGTTAAGGGAGGGTATGGAGGAAAGGGGGGAGAAATGACCCAAACATTGTATGCACATATGAATAAAATAAAAATTAAAATTAAATAAATAAATAAAAATCTAAGAAGCACAGAGGTGGTTTCTGGGGTATGAATAATGTTCTCTTTCTTAATAAGATAAAAATTTACACTTATGTATATTATACTATGTATGCATATTATACTTCAAAAAATATGTAAGTATTTTTATAGAGCAAAAGAATACATATGCATGCAAACCAACAATAAAAACTTAGAAAAAAATCCCACATAGTTGATAGAAAAATGAGAGTGTAGAGAGGGTAAAGCAGAATAGAGATAAAGGATCCCTTCTGCTGTTCCCATGCCTGGATCACTCCAGTAAGCACACACAGAGAAGCTCTGAACCAGAGTTGGCCTCTATTCTGCGGGATGAAGAGAGACACAGGCCCAGCCCAAAAATTTGTGGGCACAGAAGTTCAAATAGAGCCTCACAAACAATATATCTAAAAAATTAAAAGATTTAAAACAAGCTAACAAATTGTTAAATAAAATGTTCTGTCTGCCTACCTTCAAATACACACACACACACACACACACACACACATACACACACACACATACACTCTTCCTAATTATCAGAAATGCCAGGTTCAAATTTGGAATCTCCACACTATCCCAGGCCCCTGACCCAATCCCTATGTCTTCCCAACCCAGCTAAGTCCCACATCCCAAAACAGAGCTTCACAATTCCACATACGCATATACCAAAACTTTTAAATTTCATCCAATACTTCACATCCAGCCATTCCTTAGATCTGAGAGCATGTATCAGTAGCACAATCTTCCCTTGAGAGGATGCACCTGAAGAAAAGGCCAGCATAGGTCCTAGAAATAGGCTCAGGCCATCTGGGCAGAAATTACAAAGGGTTGCTAGAAGAACAGTTGAGATAGTACACAGGTTCTACACAGGCACAGGATGGGCGCATCCCCTTAGCTCATGGACTTCCTGCCTCATAGGAAGGACACAAAAGGGTATAGAATGAAGGCAAATTAAAGATCTTTATTTCAAAGTTTAAGGGCAATACTACAGACAAGTGTGCTCTATTCTCTCATCCAATCTCACCAAATTGGACTGAGCTGACACTTGCTGTGTTAGTCAGCTTTTTGTCACTGTGACAAAAAAATACCTGAGATAATCAACATAAAAGGAAGAAAGGTTGCTCTAAGGGTATAGTCCAGTGGTACAGTGTCTGTCTAGCATGCCCAAGGTCCTGGATTTGATTCCCAGCACTTGAAAAAGAAGGAAGAAAGATTTATTTAGCTCATGGTTTCAGCAGTTCCTGTCCATAGTTACTTGGCTCTGCTGCTTTGGTCCTGTGGCAGCACAGTACTTCATGGTGGACAGACATGGGGAAAAAAAACTGTTCACTTTATGGCAGTCAGGAAGCAAAAGAGAGACAGGAAGGGGTGGTAGGTACCAATATCCCCTTCAAAGGCATACCCCCAGTGACCTAACCTCCTTTCACTAGGCCCTACCTCTTAAATGTTCCACCACCTCCCAACAGAGCCACAGACAAATCTTTAACACATGAGCCTTTGGGGGGTACTTATCCAAAGTATTGGACTTGCCTTACACACTTTATGGTCTACAAAACACCTTCACATATGATACTCTTAATCAATCACCACAATTTTATAAGATTCTAACATACTACCACTTGATAAATGAGAAAACTGAGACAAAGTGACTTGCCTGAAATCATGCAATTAAAAGCTGAGCACTGCACAACTCCAAAGGAGAAATCTTCACTCCAAATCTCAAAGGTCGTACTCTTTCCACCACTCAATACCACCATGTATACTCCAACTTTCTAGAAGACTACAATTGTAAATACGTGGTTGAAATGTTCTGGAAGAGACCAGAGTCAGGGAAGGAAATTTAACATCAAATACAGAGTAGTTTCTGGGAAAGAGCCTGAGCCCAAATCAAAACTCATCAGTGGGACAAAGACTACTTTATAGGAACAGCAATTCTAGCTGAGTCCTGGGGGCTCCATTCCCACCCCAAACCACAAAATGAGGACCTTCAACACATTTAAGCAACCCTACCCAAATTCCACACCAATTACATGGGGAACCTGACACCACAGTCCTCCTTCTCTTTACCACCCCACTGAAAATACTTTATTAATGAGAGGGCAACATAAAGCCACAGGACTACATCTGCTCAGAGACCATCCAGAGAGAACAGCCTGGCACCAGCCACATATGAAGCCCGACCCTCCTCCAGCAAGGATCACTAAGGCTACGCCTCCTCTAATTACCGGAGTGCCTGGCTCAGGGCCTGGGCAGTTATTTACAGAACCATCGCCTTCTCCTAGCACAGACATCCACGAGGCTGGGGCTCAGTGCTATCTGCTCATATTCAGCTGCCTGAAGCTGTCATCTCCACACTCCACCACCTCAGGACATCCCCTACCAACTCTGTGCTCCCAAGCTCAGCAGCAACATGTCACTTGCACACACAGCGGCAGAGTATATGCTCTCTGATGCCCTGCTGCCTGACCGGAGGGGCTCCCGCCTCAAAGGACTTCGCCTGGAACTGCCCCTGGACCAGATAGTCAAGTTCGTTGCTGTGGGTTTCCCCTTGTTGCTGATGTCCCTGGCATTTGCCCAGGAATTCTCCTCTGGTAAGTTGCTTCAGAAACCCAGTGAGAGACCCCACTTCACTCTTTGCATGACCTCTAAAATGAGATCACTCCTACATTGACTAGGTTTCATGGTTTTGCGCTGGGTTGGATTACCCAAGGGGGGAAATCATGCATGAATTTAGGGCACCAGCAAAGCAGAAGCACCAAATTGTTTTAAAAGTCACCTCTGAATTTTTAGAATAAAAAATAATTAGTTGAAATTTCAATATTCACATATTTTGTTGTTTCAATAATTAAACTTTTATTTTGGCTTTTATATAGATAAGAGTTTGAGACTCCATAATCTTTTCCAGACCTGTCCATACTGTGAACGAATCTCTTATTTTCCCTGAGCCCTCTTCCCACCCCCACCTCCAGGGTTACTGATTTAAGAACATACATTAAGTCTCTAATAGAACCTTATTCAGAAGTGTTAAAAAAAAAAAAAAAAAAACACTGCTTCTTCTCCACAAACTCCAGCCACAACATAGACCTTAATACCCACATGTACGCAGTGCTTTTGGTGCTGGATTAACTCGGAAGGTCACTATGTCTATTGAATGTGTACTTCCTAAGATCTGAGACTTGTGGCTTTCTTTTCTGGCTGTACCCATTAGCTTACTATGTTTCCCAATGAGGTGTCCAACCTCCCATTGTCTCTTCATCTTCAAGGGGAAAGCTATTACTTCCAAGCTCTGCCTCTTTCCAGAGACTGATGAGAAAACAGAAAAGCCACAGACTCATCTAAGCCTGCTTTCCTTCCAGGACTACTTGCCTACACTTTCTCTTTATTTTTTTTCTTTTCTATTATCGTATTATTGTTTTACTGGGGGTAATTGTGATATTTACAAGAGTTCTTATAGTATATCACAGTTGAATTCACCTCCCTCCATCATTCTCCTTTATGCCCCGTTCCCTCCATTTCTGGAATAACAACCCTTTCTCTAGAGTTGGGCTCAAAAGTCCAGGCAATTAATGGTCTACATTTTAGAATAAAAAAAATCAGCTCTCTCAGGAAGGAGATGTCACTGTCAAACTGTAGCAGTGCAGGCTAGCTGCCTGTGTGGTAGTCCAAGGGCATTCTGAGAATAAAGGACTGCCAGACCTAAAAGAACCAAGTCAGCACATTGGTACCATAGGCCAAACAGGGGATGCTATCCCATTCTGCCCTGATCTCCCATGACAAAGCAGTGCCAAGCTCAGAAAACTGAGACACGGGAAGAAGACAGTACCTGCTAGACACAGAAATTGGCAGCCATGGAAGTAACACACAGATGACATAGATAATGGACCCTTAGGTTCACACCAACTCAGAGCTGTGTCAAAGCTGTATTCCTGTTCCAGGGTCTCCAATCAGCTGCTTCTCTCCCAGTAACTTCAGTGTCCGGCAGGCTGCATATGTGGATAGTTCCTGTTGGGACTCACTGGTTCACCATGAACAAAATGAGGCTGGCGAATACAAGATAAAATCTCTCTGGCCCCACAAGGTAAAGCAGACAGAAACTATCAGGCCAGCTTCATGGTACTCCCTCTCACCTCCTTCCCTGACCTCTACCTCATTCATTTGGGATGCTGACGTTCATGATTTACATGTTCCTCAAATGCCTACTGATCTATGGTTGCCCAGTTTCCTTTCACTGGAAGTTTTGTGCCTGTAAGGCTTGTCAACAGACAGCCTTAGTTGAAGGTGATCCCTTTGGTCTATTTCACTGGGGAAAACCTCAAGTATCAGTATCTATAGTTGTTTCTCTTGAACTGGTCAGTTTTCTCTGAGAGGATCATTCAATCCTTCATATGTGAGGAGGGGTAGGGTGCAGTTTGTATTAAGCTTGGCTGCCAGCCCTCTGGGACTCAGCTTGAGTCTCACCATTCAGTATTCATTCAGCCAGTCCTCATCTCATGATGGTTTCCCTGACCTCAGTGAACTGAAGTACAGCTTAATCTAGTTTCAGCTCTCCAGAGAATAAATCTCAAGCCTCTGTGGGGGACAGGGGAATGTGAGGAGGTGATTGCTTCAATGCATCACATTACAGTTTTCCTGTTTTCAGCCTGTTTTCCTGTTTCTGAGGTCCTCCATATTACTGATTCCTGAGGATTTCTGGTTCTGAGGTGCAAATAGCTTGCTTGTCTCTGCCTCAACTCCTCACCACCCCCACACCCCAATATCTTCTATCAGGCAGCTGCTCTCCTAGCTTTCAACTTTTTTTGCTCTATCTCTTCTCCTGTTCTCCCTGTCCTTAGAAGATTATGTCCTTTTCAGCCTTTATTGTCATCCTAGTGGAGTTTTATAAGGCAATAGTGGTAATATGTCTGTTCAACTCACTATGTTTGATCAGAAGTCACTTGTGGCATTTTCTAGGGATGATCATTCATAAGGCCTCAAAATACCATAGTTCTAGGACCCAGATAAAACCAGAAACTTCATGGAAAGAGTCCATCAGGCCTATGTCACTGGCAGACCAGGCAGGACCTAGATGGTTACAAGTTTAAGAGCTCACAGAGGAGATTCACACATTAGGAAAGGGTCAAAATGCCTGATCACCAGCTTGCTCTCTAAACCCAGAATCTCTGGCTCCACCTCAAACCTACAGAAGCACTCTGTAGGAGTAAAGCGTTTATCATACAAATAATTTGCCCGTTATTTCTTCAACAAGAGTGAAAAGATTCTAATTTTCACTTGTGGCCTAGTTCACTTATCCTATCTTTTTTAGTTCAAAACACACACACACACACATGCTTTTCTCCCTACCCAGAAGCAATCAAATATGTTCCCTCCTCTTTTCTTCAAACTCTCTAAAAGAACAAAGCATCTCTGGTTTAGAAAAAGCTATAGGTCAAGTATTTATTAAAGGAATAAGCTCCCAAATCACTCAGGTCCAGCTGTCCCCACATATTGGATGTGTAATCCTTTACAGGTATTAACCATTCCATGTTTCAGTTAATTTATCTGTAAAACAGGGACACTAATCATACCTACCCAATAGTGTCCCTGTAAAAATCAAATGAAATAATGCACATTAAGTGCCTAGCAGAAATGTAGCATTAAAAAGCCTTTACAAGTAGAGACTGTATTATTAAGAGCAAAATAGTGGGGTGATGTGAAAAGCCCCTAAATTAGTTTTCCAGGGCCTCCATAAGAACGCACCACAAACTGGGTGTCTTAAACAACCAAAATGTATCATCTCACAGTTCCAGAAGCCAGAAGTTCAATATCAAGGTTAACAGCAGGGTTAATTCCTCTGAGGACTGCAAGGGACAGATCTTCCAGGCTTTTCTCTTTAGTGTGCAGACACATCACCCTTGTGTTTTTCATGTTTGCATGTCTATACCCTTTACATGGCACATGTGGACACGTGTGTGCATGTGAATGGGTACATGTGTGTTTAGGACATGAGTCATCATGGATTAAAAGCCCACCCTATTTCATATAACCTCATTTTAAATTAAGTAATATAATTAGTTATTTGGACCATATTTAACTTCATTCTCAGATACTAAGGATTAAGACTTCCACATACTTGGGGTGGGGTGAGAAGCAAACACAATTCAACCCATCTCTGTCCCTCATCTCAGGTAGCCAATAATGTAGCTGGGGATGCAAGGCTTGTGTACTTTGGCATTGCCAAGAAAAGACCAGGATGCATCAGAGAACTCAGGGAGGGCTACATGGAAGAAATGGGATGTCAGAACGGCTCTTGGTCAGCATCTCAGGCTACTCAGCCTATACATTTAAGGAGTTATCTCTCTGCACACCCCCCACCTCCTTCTCTTTCACTCTTGCTCTTTTTCTTCTCCTATGGCCCTAGACAGACGACAGATCAGGAAAACACAGACCTTAGATCTGGAGAACATGCCCCTTCTCTACAGGGCCTTCCACAGTGGAAGAGAACCTTAAGTAGCCCACTCCCCACAATGACTTCCCTTCTGAGGCAGCAACTGGGAAGAGGTGAGCCCCTCACTCAGAGCTGTCATTTAAGGCCCAACACCCTGGGCTTCCTTCTCAATCTACTCTTGCCTTGCAGGCCCTCCCCTACTCCTTACTGGCCCTGGCAGTGATCATGTACCTGCCAGTGCTGCTATGGCAGTATGCAGCTGTGCCAGCCCTCAGCTCAGATCTGCTGTTCATCATCAGTGAACTGGACAAATCCTACAATCGCTCCATCCGCCTAGGTGCAGCACATGTTGAAGATTCGGCAAAAGAGCTCTGACCCTCATGTCTTCTGGGATGAGCTGGAGAAGTGAGTTGTCTCTTCCACCTTTTTCAGAAGGTCTTCATTGAGCATTAAAATGATATCCATGCATAGTAATCTTTAAATTATGGTATATGCCATCCTTCTCAAGAGAACAAAGCACTCAATCCATCATCTCATGAACTATAATCCCTGTAAAGATAGAAGATAAAGGACTCTATGTCTAGTTTGCAGATGAACACACTGAGCCATGAGGATTAACCTCTTAAAATACCACTTCTGTATACTATTTTCCTGCTCAGAAACCTCAATTAGGTTCCCCATGCCTACCAAAACCATACAAATTCTCACAAATATTTTTCCAACAATATCCATTGTATGCATAGGACATTTACTTTATCCAGTTATCCGTAGACGGATACATGGGTTGCTTCTATGTTTTGGCTATTGTGAATAATGCAAATATTCAAAAATAAAAAAAATTCCAAAATCTGAAACACTTCTGGTCCCAAGAATTTTGGATAAGATATATTCAAACTATAACAAATGTCAGAAACCTTCCACTCTATCCAAGCAGTCTCCTCTTTTCCTATGAAGAAATCAATTTATTTAGTTGGTTATCTATCTGAGTACCAGGCACTATGCTGGTTGCTTCAGGTACATTCATGTTTGGGGACAGGAGGTGGGGGCAACAAAGCTATACCTATCCACATGGGACTTACATTCTCTTGAGGGAAAAGACAACAAATAAGAAGAACACATAAGTAAAATGTACATTAGGAGATGATGAGTTGTATAAAGAAAATAGAAATTAACAAAGGGGAAGGAGGCCTGAAAAACTGAGGGATAAAGAGTAGTACCATTTTAAATACAGCAGCCAGTGTGGGCCCCACTAAGAGGATAGTTGAGCCAAGATCTGAAATCATATTGTCTCATGTTTATGCATATACTAAATTCTCTCAAAAAAAGTTCCTCCCCACGTTTTTAAAGCCCAGCTTTAAGCCAATATTCTCTATAAAGGTTTTGAACACTCCAACCCACACTATGACTCCATCTGCTAACATTCACAACTATTATAGGTTGAATCCATCAACTTAACAACAAATCAAATGTTCATTTTATTTCTTATATGCATGTCTTACCATCCCATTCCCCACAAGTCATACACTAAGCTTCTTCATAGAAACTGACTTACCTGTTCCTCAACACCAGAGTTCTCAACAAAGACTTTTTAGCATGTTTGTTATGCTTGGGGAAGGCAGATGTTCATGTATACCAAGAATGTCATGTTGGATACATAGATCTGTTGACTTTCCTACATGATTGTTGTGGTGTAGTTCTGAATGGCACTTCCTAACCTTGCCTCCTTTCTTCCCCTGCACAGGGCACGGAAAGAACGATACTTTGAATTTCCCTTGCTAGAGCGGTACCTGGCATGCAAGCAGCGCTCACATTCACTAGTGGCAACCTATCTTCTGAGGAACTCCCTCTTGCTCCTCTTCACCTCAGCCACTTACTTGTACCTTGGTCACTTCCATCTGGATGTCTTCTTCCAAAAACAATTCAGCTGCTCCATCAAGACAGAGTTGCTACATGATGAAACCCATGTTCCTGATCTGATCACATGCAGGTTGACCTCCCTGTCTGTTTTCCAGATTGTAAGCCTCTCCAGTGCAGCAATATACACCCTATTGGTTCCACTGATAATATACAACCTCACACGGCTATGTCGGTGGGACAAACGACTCCTATCCATCTATGAGATGCTCCCTGCTTTTGATCTCCTCAGTAGAAAGATGCTGGGATGCCCCATCAATGACCTCAATGTGATTCTTCTTTTCCTCCGAGCCAACATCTCTGAACTCATCTCTTTTAGCTGGTTGAGTGTTTTATGTGTGTTGAAGGACACAACTACCCAGAAGCACAATATTGACACAGTGGTTGATTTCATGACTTTACTGGCTGGCTTAGAACCCTCAAAACCTAAACATCTCACCCAAGGTTTATGTGATGAACACATATAGTTAAGAAAGAGACCATGTAGTGGGAAATTTTTTAGAAAGTAAAAGTCTCTCACTTTCACAAACCATGCAAAAAAAAAAATACCCACTTTAAATTTGCTCAGCTTGGATTCAGTTAAGTTATATATCCTGTATTTGTAAGAAGACAGAATCAAGACATGGAAGTAAATGTGAAAGTTGGAACTGAAGAGTCAAAGAACTTAAAAATTAGGTCTAGAGCATTCTATGAGTAAAATAAATAAAAGTGAAAATAAAAAGTAAAGTCTAAACATTCTACAAGGAAATAAGATTATAAAGGCTATTTGTGGAGGCAAGTTCTTGCAGTATTCACCCATTCCCCTTCTAGGGTGCATGCTTGGCTCACCACAAAGAGCAAGTAGAGCAATCTAGTAAAGATTAATAAAATTGTGAACCCCCTGGAAACCCTCGGTGTGGCTTGAAATCCTAGGAATTTGCCCATCTTTGCTTTGTGGAAGTCATCATTCTTGTCAGGCACTCTGCAACCTGCAAAGTGAGCCAAGTGACAATAATGGCTTAGCCTTGTCATATGCTCTTGGGGTTTAAGGACAGAGGCAAGGGCCATGTATAGCCATGAGTGAAGTCTTAAGGTGTCCAACATACTTTTAATCATCTAACCCAATGATTTATTGCACCAAGGGCTAGGATTATGGGCCGTGAACTCCTTTGTAACTCTTAATGTGCCCAGGTACGCTTTTAATACCTCAGAGGACAGTATACCTTCACTTAGAGCCAATCACTGCAAAGCAACTATTTAGAACTAAACAGGCTAAACAGTGAAGTGCTACTGAGCCCCTTCTTTCTTCTCTGATTCATCACCCCATCCTTTGTCCTAACTCTCAATCCTACGCCTGGATTTTAATGAAGTCTTATTCGAATTCCAAAGACTATGCTCACCCCACAGTACCATGCCATCTCTAATTGTATACTTCTTTAAAGAATTTTTGCATAGGGCATTTAGACCACTCTTGAAATAGGTAGTAGAAAAGCCATATTGCTTCTGACAAATTCAGATAAATTCGCCTAAATCAAGCAAAGAGCTGATAATATAGATGCTCATCAATGACTACCTATTGTCATCAATAAAAGTCCAACTCTTCAGTTGGTAAACAAGTCTTTTCATGATCTAAACCCTGTCCACTACTTCAGTCTCTAATAAACTATTTACAGTTCTCATGTTTCTCATGATGCTGAACCTTTGAATATGCTGTTTCCGTATCTGGCAGCTCTCCTCAGTTCCTCACTGGACCAAACATTACCTCCTCTTCAGAGTGCATTCAGGCATATTTCATTCAAGAAAACTTCCTACTTCCTCACTCCTTCCCTAGCTGAGTGATGCCATAGCAAACAAAACTTACCTGTGAAATAAACTTATTAAACTGTACTAATGTTGCCAATTTACTTCTCTTTCCTTTTTGAATTAAATGTCCTAAAAGTTTTGTCACAATCGGCACTAAATAAATATCCTTCTGTACAAATTAGTGAAGGAATGACTATTTACTAGCATCACATTTTCTTAAAGCATGCAGACCCAGCTTCTATATAATCCTATATGGAAAGGCTATGTACACAGCAATTGACCAAAAAATCAAACAACATGGAAATAATTATGCCAAAGAAAGTAACATAACAACAATACTAATAAGGCATTATTATATTTATGAAGAACTCATAACACTATAAAATGATGACAATGGTAAATGAGCAAAAAGGAAACATTACATTCAGTATGACCTAACCTACACAAAAATGCATAAAAATATCAAATACATACTAACATGAAAGTGATTCACTCCAAGTGGCAGCAATATGAGTTTTTTGTTTTTGTTTTTGTTTTTCCTGGTGTTGGAAACCAAAATTTGAACCTGAACATGATAGAGCCTCCAGAATAATTTTTTTCCTTTTCTTTTTTTTTTTTTTTTTTTTTTGGAGGTGGTATTGGGAATTAAACCCAGAGCCTTTCACTCAAATGCTCTACCACTGAGTTATACCCCAATCTCATGGGCTTTTAAAAACAAAAATCTTCCTTTCACTATATTTTCTAAATTTCTAAAATGTGTGAGAAAAAATTTCATAATTATTTAAAAATGCTTCTAATGAAGAACAACAGTAAACATATGTTTACTCCACTGAAGTCCATTGGCCACAGCAGCCTGCAGACTAAAACAAAGAATGGCAGTTTCTCTCCCACCTATATATGATAATGTAGATGAATAATACAAATAAAGTCAGATTCCACAGCCTGGACAATAAATCAGGCAATTAGCAAGTAAGAATTTTCTTTCTTCTTAGAAAGTCTCTTCTTATTACAGAGACTATTTTCAGGTTCCAAGGTAAAGTGCCAGTCTATATATCAAAAGTATGAGTAGGGTATTTTGTGAGGTGAAATAATCCTGGCAGCTTCCAAGCCTGAATCTACATGGCTGCCTTAAGTATGTCTGTGAAAGCAAAGGGCACTCTAAAAAGCTGCATCGTTAAAATCCAGTCAAGTCCAACAAAGGCAGTTTACATAGTGGATGATCATTAAAACATTTCTATAAGCTTTGACTCTGTGTTAAAAAACCATTTTGCCAAGACCTTTGTCACTGTTTTTAAATTTTTCAGAAATGAAGTATCTGGGTCATTAATTCTAAACTACCTTTTCTGAATTTTGACCACAAATTATTTATATTAGGGTTTAAAGATTTTTTTTCAAGTAATTTCAGTGAACTTATTAACTATGCAACATATTTTTCTGAATTTCCATACACAACTCTAGAAGCCTACGTTTTGAATATTTAACAGTAATTACATATAAGTACAATACTTCACAGTTTAGAAATCTCATCCACTTCCTTACTTACATTTTGGTGGTTTTTTTTTTTTGGGGGGGAGGGTAACAACTGAGAATGAGGCTCAATCAACTAGCTACTGGCCCTGTTGAAAGAAGAATGTAAGCCTGCTATCCAGCCCCGAGCACTTACCAATTTTACACCCTGAAGATTTGTCTGTCCTTACTTGGTGATTTTTAGATTGATCTTGGTTATAAAGTTAGGACCATTAAAGTATACGTATGTGTACAGAAATGCATTTTTGGTTTCATTAGGAAAACACCTACTGAGTGCCAACTCTGTGCCAATTTTGTTAAAACTTCTTGCTAAATCTTCCATCTTCCCTACAAGATTTTAAGCTTTGAAAGAGCCAAGGACTTTTTATCATATTCACTAAGGTCTTAGAAGTTCATAGTAGAGGGTAAAAACTTTTCTGCGAGCTGCATAAAGAAATGAAACAGTGCCAGCACTTGCACTCAAGTATCTCCAGGACCTGTTTGTAGGAAGTGTGAAAAACGGGTGTTGAAACGCAGTGGCCTGCAGGGGACGCGAACGAGAACTCGCGTTGGCAAGATGTTTGTTAGCTCAGCTCAACAATAGCCCTCTGCAGAGCACCTAGACTCCAGTCACTGTACTTTCCTGCCACCGCCCCTTCCCCTAACCACCTCCCACACTCTTCCCCAAATCGGAGATTCTCTCCTCCGCTCCCACTCCAAGACTCAGCGAGGCTCACACCCAGCGAGGCCAACACCACCCTTCTCCCCCACCCCCGGAAGTTACACGCGGCCAGCGTCGTTACGTAACTTCCGGCGGCGCTTACACGAGGAAGTACCGGGAAGCTCTAGCACCAGGTATAGAGGCAGGCTTTCCGGTCCTGTTGTTCGTCTTGGGGACGTCCTGAAGAGCTAGTTTCCTAAAGGCGGGATTCCGGACAAAGCCGGCGCTCCGGCCCGCCCCTCGCTCTCGGGACCGATGTCGGCCGCGTTCTGGAGCCCCCGTAGTGGGGCCGCACCATGAGCCTGCTGGGCGGCCTCGCCTCCTCGCCGCGGCCCCCGCTGCCATCCAGCAAGGCCAGGATGAAAAAGCTCCCGAAGAAGAGCCAGAACGAGAAGTACCGACTGAAGTACTTGCGGCTGCGCAAAGCGGCCAAGGCCACGGTGTTTGTGAGTGTGACCGCCGCTCAGCCGGCCTCTGCCGGAGACTCTGCTGCCTCGCGAGATCTTCCCCTTCCCAGAGTGACCGTGTTAATTCGGTGTTAGAATTTCAGTATACGTTACTGCTTCTTAGTCCTGTGTTCTTGAACAAGTTATAATTTCGCTAATCCTCTTTCCTCCCCTGTAAATGAGAGCTGGTAACTACCTCGCAAAAGATCAAATGAGAAAAGTAAAGTGCTTGGTGCCTCGCAGGTCTGGCCAATAAACTTTAGTCGTTACCGTTATCACTGCAAAACTCAGAAATGCGTTTGATTTTCGAGGTAATCTGGGGGTTTTAAAAGTGAGAACACCGAAACCTAAAAGGTGATTTGTTCAAGGCGCTGTGTCAGAATTCTTGACTCCGATTAGATACCCTGCTTATAGTTTACTGTTTCCACTGCACAGCCTGTTTCCCAAGCTCCCTTCAACCCCATAACGGAGCCCTTGCTTAAAGCAGGTTCACATAACCACCTTTGATGAGTCTTCCAGGTATTTCTGCCTTTTTTTTTTTTTTTGCCATTCTACGAATGGAACCCAGAGCCTCGAGCGTGTTTGTGTCCACTCAATGACAACAACGCCCCCCCCCCGTCTTTTATTGTAGGGACAAAGGGTTTATTGACTGCACTAAGTGCTTGTCAACTGTAACTTTGTGTTACAATATTTTGGCTTGCCTCAATACTTGGAAATAGAGATGGAGTCCTCAAGTTCCTTCCCACAACAGAATCAATATAGTCTTCCTCCTCTTTCTGCCAAAAACTTGAGCATCTCAGCATTTTTAGATACGGAAAGGTTTGGAAATTAAAATACTAATTCCAAAAATACTTACTCAGCACTTGTTATATGCACTGTAGAAAAACAGGAAAAGTAGAATTAGGAAGACTTGACGTCTTGTTCTCTTTTATCCCCTACATGTGAAAAGGATCTAAAGCTTGGAGTCTGTTGTTCCAAGAATATTTAAGAATATTGGTTCCTTTAAGTACATGAAGCGGTTTTGTGAAAAAAAAAACAAAGGGAAATTGAGGGCTGGGCCTGTCACTTAGACCTGTAATAGCAGCTGATTGGGAGGATCTCAGTTCAAGACCAAGCCTGGCAAAAAGTTAGTGAGACTCCACCCCTCTCCCCTGCCATGTCAGCCAACAAATCGGGTGTGATGGTGCAGCTGTAATCCCAGCTACATGGGGAGCATAGGTAGGAAGAGCAGTCTAAGGCCAGCCCTGGGCAAAAACACAAGACATTATAGAAAAATAAAGCAGAAAAGGAATGGAGCCGTGGCTCAAATGGTAGAGCATGTGCCTAGTTAGTATGAGGCCCTGAATTCAACCCTAGTATAGCCAAAATAAAAACCAACAACTACAAAAAGTACATTGTTTTGGAAGTTCAGTTTGAAGTGGAGCATTTCCTTCAGTATTGGTTTTTAGGAGAGAGATTGAATCATCAGTAAAGAAAGTTACACTTGAATATATACAAGTAAATTATAAAATTTAAGAATTTTTCACACAAGATTTAATTTTGTTGCATCCACTTTTTCTAAAGTATTAATATGGGATGCTTTGGGGCTAGGTTGTCTTTGTCTCTCAAGAGTCAAGGCTCTTGGGCATGAACAGCCCTCATATTTCAATAATAGGCCTTTTTCTTTGCCAAAGGCTACACTAATTAGGGCAACCATACACCTTGATTTGCCCAAGACAGAACCGTAATATACATACTGTTCTGGCATAAGCATTAAAAGTGCCTCTTTTTTACTCAAAGTTCTCTCAGATAATTATGTAATTATCCTGCCTATGCTAAAACCTGACCACCTCTCCCACAGATTTACTTATAACTTGACTGCAGTGTAGAATAGCTCTTCCTTCTTACCCAGAGACACAGACTTTTTTGGTTTAATGGATCCCCCCAAGCATAGTCCTTGATCTTTTATACACTTTATATGATTATGTTCAAAATTTTTCTTAAAGGAAAATGCTGCTATTTGTGATGAAATTGCTCGTCTTGAGGAAAAATTTCTTAAAGCAAAAGAAGAGAGAAGGTGAGCTAGTTTCATTTTGTGTTTCATTAACACTAATGCTATGGGGATTTTTCTCCAGTGGGATTCTTGTGCATTGCACAACCTCTTGGCCACTTGAACAAGTACAGAGAAATTCACAGTCTGTGATATTGGTTCCCACATACCAAAGTCACATCAGACCATAATGATATGTCATCTTTCTGGCAAAGCCCTTCTTGCTATATTTAATTAATAATTTTCTTTCTTTTTGTTTTTTTTGTTTGCTTTTTGGCAGTACTCAGGGTTAAACTCAGGTCCTCGTGCTTACTAAGCAGGTACTCTACTACTTTAGCCACTCTGCCAGCCCTTTTTGCATTCTTTATTTTTAATATAGTGTCTCGCTTTATGCTCAGGCTTCCCTGGACCTCAGTTCTCCTATTTGTGCTTACCTGTGTAGCGGGAATGACAGGCGCATACCATTGTGCCCATCCATTCATTGAAATGGAAATCTCATGAACTTTTTGCCCAGGCTGACCTCAAATCAAAAATCCTCCTGATCTCTGCCTCCCAAGTAACTAGAATTATAGGCTTGAGCCACCATACCCAGCCTCTGATAAGTAATCTTATTATAACTTCCCAGTTATAAAAGTCAAGGAATGAAAGAAACTGTTTCTCATTGTACAAATACTCAATCTGCACAACTCTACAGAAAGCACAATGGGTATATTATACCTAATTCATGATACACGCCCTTCAGGCACCTCACACCTTCCAACCAAGGTACAAGAGCCCTCCAGATACAAGAGAGATAAGCTATAATCCTAACCTTGGTTTCTTGAAATATTCATTGTCCTCTGGGGCTTTACTGTGTCTGGGGCTTTATTTTTATGTCTGATAATCTTTGCATATAATTCTGCCTTTTCCCAGTACTTGGTGATATATCGAATTGAGACAAAATGAAAGTTCATGCCTTTGCTCCCTTTCCTTTCCAACTTCAGGTACTTGCTAAAGAAGCTCCTCCAACTTCAGGCTTTAACTGAAGGGGAAGTACAAGCTGCAGCTCCTTCCCACAGCTCCAGTTTGCCCCTGACTTACGGTGTGGCCAGCTCAGTGGGAACTATTCAGGGAGCTGGATCCATTTCTGGCCCCAGCACTGGAGCTGAGGAACCATTTGGGAAGAAGTCCAAGAAGGAGAAAAAAGAAAAAGGCAAAGAGAACAACAAATTGGAAGGTACTTTTGGGAGACAGTTTATCAATTTCCTGTGGCTCAACTACTGATGACAAAAATTAGTACTAATTGGTAGACACATATGACCACATGTGCACTTGAAGGCTCGTATAAGTCTTATAAAGTTCCTTGAGAATCATGTGTCTTATTAGAGCCACTTTGGGTGGTTAGATCTGATTAAATGTGAAGGAAGAAGACTGAGTCTTCATCTGTCCCCCTTCCCTAACTCTTGAGTTGCATTAACTTTGGTCTTTCCTTGAAGCAGGGAAATGGGCTAGGTAGCTTTTTGAGCACACTACTAGTTTGGGAAATTTCTCATCTTACAATTGAAGAGGACTTAAAAATATAAGACTTTTAGTACCTAAGCATTAATTACTAAAATTGGCTACTGCTGATGGGCAGGTTAGAAAGATACTCAGGACTTTAGGGGAAAGTCCTGTGTATTCATCCAGTGAATACAGATGGCCCCTGACTTAGAATGTTTCAACTTTACAATGGTGTAAAAGCAATATGCATTCAGTAGAAACCGTACTTTGAGTTTTGATCTTTTACTGAGAGAGTGATATGCAGTATGATACTCTATTTCAATGCTGGCCAGTGGCAGCAAGCCACAGTTCCCAGTGAGCTGCATGATCACTTGGGGTGGGGATGAAAAACAAGACTGTACAGTGTACTGTGTCACTAGGCTATGATGTTTAGCAAATTAGGCATATTATTTGCACTTTCAGCCTAGGCAAGGCTTATCGGTATGTAGCCTATCATAATTCGAGGAGCATCTATATATAAAACCAAGATTGGCTTATTGCCCTTAGCAGTCATGTGTAAGTTTTTCCCTTCCCCTTGGCATTGGGAAGGGCCTAAAGTGGGTGACCCCAGATTTGCGTTTCAGTTCTGAAGAAAACATCCAAGAAAAAGAAAATGGAGGGAGGTGCTCGCAAGCTGGTTCAGCCCATTGCCCTGGATCCCTCAGGACGGCCTGTGTTCCCCATCGGACTAGGGGGTCTAACAGTATATAGCCTGGGGGAGGTGAGTGAGACCAGCGGCATACAGAGAGGAGAACCAGGGAACTATGGGAATGGGGTTGACCCGTCCCTCCTTTTCCCATTAGCACTACCCCTTGCTGATCCATACCAACCCCAGAAAACCTCCACTTCCTATGAAACCAGGTAAGCCTCTGTCTCCTCCACAGCTGGAGCACTCTATATGTGATTTCAGTTACTTTGCAGCCCCAAAGTGGTTCTAAAGGCTACCAAAATAAACTGGACTACTAAATCCTTCAGTGACCTCAATCCCAGGGTGGGGGAATCTTTTTATAGATCATCACCGACCGACCTGGCTTCCATGATGAAAATGCCATCTACCCTGTGGGTTACTGCAGTACTCGAGTTTGTGCCAGCATGAAATGCCCAGACCAAAATTGTCTGTATACCTGTCAGATCAAGGACGGTGGTGTGCAACCTCAGGTACTCACTCATTCAGTTATAACCACTGGTTTTCTTGTTCTTTGTTCTTGAGAACCTTCAGACACTTAAAATGTGTTATTACATATTCTGACATCTTATGAGATGGATACTGTATAATTTATATTTAGGTAACCCCAAGATGAAGAAAAAGCGACTGACCCTAAGTCACACCTCCACTAATAAGCAGTTGAGCTAGGATATGAATCTGTATGTGTCTAATGCTCAGACTGATGCCTTTCCTTTGAACCATGCTACTTCTGTTGTTCATATTGTAACTATGTAAGGCTTTTTTTTTTATTTTTTTATTCATATGTGCATACAAGGCTTGGGTCATTTCTTCCCCCTACCCCCACCCCCTCCCTTACCACCCACTCCGCCCTCCCTCTCCCCCCCACCCCCTCTATACCCGGCAGAAACTATTTTGCCCTTATCTCTAATTTTGTTGAAGAGAGAGTATAAGCAATAATAGGAAGGAACAAGGGTTTTTGCTGGTTGAGATAAGGATAGCTATACAGGGAGTTGACTCACATTAATTTCCTGTGCGTGTGTGTTACCTTCTAGGTTAATTCTTTTTGATCTAACCTTTTGTCTAGTTCCTGGCCCCTTTTCCTATTGGCCTCAGTTGCTTTTAAGGTATCTGCTTTAGTTTCTGTGCATTAAGGACAACAAATGCTATCTAGTTGATCAAGCCTGCTTATGTTAAGTACAGGCCCAAATACACAGATTAGTTTGATATGCTGCCATTTCAGGTTGGATCAAAATGGAGAAAGCAAAAAAACTGCATATTAACTTTTGGCTGCATGTACACTTAAGGACCTGGGAGTCCCAAATCATACTCTTATTAAATACCTCCCTTCATCCTTGGTGCTAAGATGTGGGGCAGTTTGTTTTCCTTATCTGTCATGTCCATTCTTGGGGAAAAAATTTTCAGAATTCCAAGCTCCAGTATCTAGTGAAGTTACAGATCAGTATAGAAAATTGGATGGAAGTAAGTAGAGGCAAGGTTAAGGAATCTTTGAGAAGAAGCTGGGAAAACTCTGAGCCTAACTGAAGCATGTGGGAAATACTGTATCACTGATGTCAGTTAGAGCACTGTCAACGTGACTGGGAGTTCCGGTGACGTTGGTCATACAGCAGTGTTCTGCAGAAAGTGCTCAAATAGACTCACTGTTGTACCAGTATGCCATAACATATCTGTAAATGCAATGCAAAGCAATCAAAAACCTGATCAAATTTTAATGGAAATTGACAACGATGATTCTTCCTTCCTCCGAAAGACAAAATACTAAACCATTTTTGAAAAAAGAGTATGAGGTGTTTTGTTTGTTGTTAATTCACTAACCTAACAGGACATTATTTTTAGATATATTATAAAATAGGAATTTACCTTGAATTTTTGCCACCTCAACATCAAGTAACTTTAGACTTTAGTGTGTAAACAAAATACATGTAAGACTTGGGTCTGTTTGAGATGATTTTATTTCATTGATCTGTTTGTTGACAGGTGCCAATATAATACTTACTTTATTTTCACCTTACAGAATATTTTATGTTCTAAGTATGTTAGAGGAAAATGTAGAAGAACCTTCTATAATCTAGGGTAAGGTGAAAAGGGTTTCTTTAGCAAAACATAAAACATAGAAACCATAAATGAAAATAGTAATATATTTGACTATCAGAAATTTAAACACTTCTAAATGACAAAAGACAACATAATCAGAGCTAACACTCAAGCAACAAACAGGAAAAGAATATAAACCAAGGGACTGATATCCAGATAAAGTGCTGCTATAAAACAAGATTTTAAAAAATCAGATCTTATTTTTGCTCATAAGCAAATATCAGAGTTTGATAATATCCAGTCTTGACCAAGGTATAGGAAAACAAGTACTTAGTAAGAGTAAAAATTGGTAGTCTTTTGGAGGACAACTCAACAATAGCAACAATTTTAATATATTGAGCCAGAATACTTCTAGGGCATCTTATATTGCTTAGAGAAATGTGTAACTGTGAACAACATATATGCAGAGTGATCTCATTTGTTTTTATTATACCATTTGTATTTAAGGATAAGAAAGGGTATGGAAAGGTGTGGAACAAATTAAATACATACATATACAAAATAAATCCACCATATTCACCCTCCTTCACCTTTTCCTTATCCTCTTCCTCTCCCACTGGAACCCAACCCTAGAAAGCACCTGTTTTTATCTTCTTGTCCTTCACTTTTTAAGATTTATATTGATATTCCCAAGGGGGTTTTGCCTTGTTGTTTCAGACATGTATATATTATACTTTAATCAGATTGCCTCCCCCTATTACTTTTTCTCTGTCTCCCTGCTCCTCTATTATTCAACAGCTTACAGTACATTATATTGTTTTCATACATAGATGAAATGTTTCAGTATTTTTCACTAATATTGTCTTTCCCTCTCCCGCCTCCTGTAGTCCCCTCAGACAAATCCACTAATAATTACAGGAAATATTTATAGTAGTAGTATGACTCTCTACTTCTTCTCCTTTGCAGATTTATCTAACTGTCCCTTTGTCATTCTCAGTTTGAAATTGTTCCTGAAGATGACCCCCAGAATACCATCGTCAGCTCTTCTGTAGATGCTTGCCATGCAGAATTGCTCAGGGCCATCAGTGCTACAACGTAAGTAGACCAACAGTTTAAGGACATGCTAAAAAAAAAATCACTGTTGGTACAGTGAGACCTTTTCCCTTTTAGTGGGTTTTATAGAAACTTATCCTGTATCTTTTCAGACATCTTAGCAGCTAAAGTCTCCAGAGTATCTAAGCCAAGAAAGCTTATCCTGTATGTTCATACCACCATTCCATTCTTAAACCTGTCTTTATCTTCCTCTAAGCTCTCAAGCTAAAATTCTCCCTCTCCTGTTTAGGGGGAAAATAATGCCTAACTTGTTTCCAACTGGAGCTGACTTTTTTGGGTTTTCCCATCCAACCATCCACAACCTGATCCAGAGTTGTCCAGGAGCTCGAGAATGTGTGAAGTAAGTGTGGGTAAATCCATCCTGTTGTACAAGCTCAGTGGTCAGCTGACCAGAGACTTAAACTGGCAGTTACTCCTTTGCCTAGTCATGCCTTTATTGAGCTACTCTGCCAAGACAGACTTGCATTGTGCCTCAACATTAACCCTTTTAGTCCTCTAGACAAGTGAGGAGGAGCCAGGAATCCAGTGTGCTGTATTACAGGTTGAGTATTTTTTAATCTAAAATGCTTGGGACTAGAAGTGCTTCAGATTTCATTTTTGGATTTTAGAATATTTACATATACATAATGAGATAGCTGGGGGATGAGACTCAAGTCTGAACAGGAAATTCATTTATGTTTAATATGCACCTTATATATATATATATCCCAAAGGTAGTTTTATACAATGCTTTTAGTACACCTGCATTTTAACTGTGACCCACCAAATGAGGTCAAGTGTGGAATTTTCCATTTGTGGCCTTAATGTGGGTGCTCAGAAAATTTTGGATTTTGGAGTATTTTGGATTTTCAGATTAGCAATGCTCTACCTGTACCATTTTTCTGTTTGTGCAATGATAGCAAAAGGATAAGGGGAGTCTAGCAAAATAATGTGTCATTAAAGAGGTTTGCTTATTTTCTTTTAGTTTGTTTTTATGTTTTTGTTTTTTTTCCTTAGCTAAAAATGTGTTTTAGGTATATATGAGAAAGACCTAATGAAAAAATAACCTGAGTCCTTTGGAGATAGGACTGATTATTGGCTAGCAGACAACTCTTGAGTATGATTTCCTTTGATCCTGTAGTTACCAGTGGGTGAAATTTGATGCATGCAAACCTGGAGAGGGGCAGCTACCACAGGGACTAGCAGAGAATGATGCAGCTCTGAGCTTTGAAGCCTTTCAGAGACAGACTTTTGATGAAGATCATAATGATCCCATTCTTCCAGGTATCTTTTAACTTTGCCTTGTTCGAAAATTGACCATTTTTAGGGTATCGTACCCTCCTTACACATTGATGTGTGCCCCAGATATCAGATATTCAGGAAATAAATGATGCAGATTTTCAGTGACTCAGCCATGGAAAATGTTGAGTCAGAGGAGGACATATGGCCTGCTTGGGTTCCCAGGTTACCCCCAGAAGTCATGGTGAACACTTTTGATACTCATTAAAGCAGGGCACCACAAGAAATTGCAACATCTCATTCACTAACCTAAGTAAGTAAGACCTAAGTGGAAAATGGGAAGATAAAGTCAAAGAGAAGTTGTGACTTTGGATCTGCCTACATTGCCTGGATTCCTTCTCATAAATGGGAATAATAATCAGGTTTTCAGGCATGTTAGGGTTTTTATAACATGTGTGTGTAAATCTGTCCTGTTTTATCAACCAAAGGAAGAATTGGGCTGACTTTAGCAAGGATATTAAGGAATTAATAAGCTGGGTATGTATCTCAACTAAACACTAAAGCAGTAGAACTTAAGGAATTATTTTCCTCCAGGATCCTTGGACCTGCCCGAGCTGCAGCCTGCAGCCTTTGTGTCTTACCAGCCTGAGTTCCTGACAAGCGAACCCTTAATAGACACTCACCTGCAGCACCTGAAGTCTCCATCACAGTGTAGCCCAGTTCAATGTGAAGACTAAACAAGAAGGGATCAGATCCCACTTCATTTTCATCACAATAAGGTTTTTTTTTTTTTTAACTTAAACTAAAACTTAACAGTGTATGGAAGAAGACAGCATATCGGGACTGAAGATTTTAACACATTTCCTCATGGGAGTTCCCATGGTGACAGTTTACCCTGGGAAAAACTTCAGTTACTTTATTTTTAGTAATAAATTTCTCTTAACCATTCTGCTATTTTCATATGCTTGTAATCAGGTTATAATTTTTTTTTTTGCTTAGCTCTGCCTGATGTAGAGTACACTTTAGTCCTTTATAAACCTGCTTTAGTCCATTTGGGCTACTGTAACAAAATACCATAGACTGGGTGGCTTATTAACAAATTTATTTCTCACAGTTCTGGAGGTTGGGAAGTCCAAGTTCAAGGTGCTAACAGTCAATGGGCCTACTTACTCATTCATAGGCAGCTGCCTTGCTATAATCTCACATGGTGGAAGAGGTAACGAAGCTCTCTAGGGTTCCTTTTATAAGGGCACTGATCTCATACAGAGTCCTTACAACCTAAACAGCTCCCTAAGGCTTCAACTCCTAACACCATCATAATGGATGATTAGGATTTAACTTATAATTTAACACATTGAATCTACAGCAGCTGCTAACTTAGGAGGGAGATAACCCTGTCCTAGTTCAAGGACTACCAAGTCCTCTAGCCCTTGCAACTGAGGCTCCTGCTTTACTTTCATATCAATATCATCAGAACAAATCCTCATGTTTACACTCAAGATGGAAAATCCAATCATAGTACACTATTCACTTTTTTTTTTTAATCACATTTCATACATGCTTCAAAGGGATAAAAAAAAATGCTCTTTAACCATACTGCATGCCCTTGGTTCCTTATTGGAGACTGTGCTTTACCTTAGTGTGTTGAAACCACATGATAACACAAGACTCACCCATTATTTCATGTTAATATGTAATAACTAACTATGCATGCTATCCTGCTGAATTCTTTGGACCCTGAGTATAGGTAACATAAAGGTGGGGGCTCTGGGCTGGTAGAGTGGCTCAATCAGTACGAGTGCCTACCTAGCAAGTGTGAGGCCCTGAGTTCAAGCCCCAGTGCTGCCAAAAACAAAAAGATAAGGCACTAAAGTGGGGGCTTATTGCATCACCTAATCCCAGTCAGTGCAACTCCACCCTACCTTGTGTGATGCCTTCGCTCCCCATCCACCAGGTGCCGATGGCTGGTTGTAATGGATGGAGAGGGGACAAAAGGATCAGAAGTAGAAGAATAGGAAAGAAGTGGTGATAATGAATTGTTCTGTGCTACAATTCATAACTGCCAACTGAAGACAACGTAAAAGAGATTAGCATTTTACAGTAATAAATCTGACCAGCAGAGGGAGAGATCAGAAGGAGCAATGCTTACAGCACACCACCCTCAGCAACTATGAAACTGTATTAGTCTTTTTGAAAGTTTCTACAACATTATAATGCAAAAGAAACAACATAAAACGTGGATAACAGCAAGTCGGATAGGAAGATTATTCAAAGAAATTCATGTTTTAAGTGTATTTTTATCTTCTCTGCGTAAGTTTCTGGAGCATGCTGCTTTTATTATATAAAAATATTATAGCCTGAGTAAAGCACATATTAAAAGAGAACCTTATTTTAGGATAAATTTTTTAATGGACTAATACAAGTTTACTAGAACTGTTTTTCAAACTATAAATTGCAGCTCTTTACTTACAAACTTGAGTCAAACCCACACCTTTTAAAATTATAACAATTATGACAGAGTATATCACAAAGAAAGGTTGAAACTGGTTTTAACTATAGTATATGTTTATATAAAATATATATGCATACATATGTATGGAATATGTGAATACCAAACATTTTCACTGTGTCGATTTAAAAAAAAAAAACTTGAAAAATACTGCCTTGATGATATACTTAAAATATCTTTTCATCCATCACATTGTTAAAGGTTTTTTGACAACATCCATTGCCAATTAAGAGTGAGGGAAAAAAGAATTTTATCGGTGGGAATGTAAATTATTTAATCTTGTGGAAGAATGAAGATGTAGATACCAACATTTTAAATGTATATTTGTCTTTTAACCTGTCATTTCATGTTAAGGAACCTAAGAAATAACTGGACAAGTGAAGAATGTTTTGTTTTGTTTTTTTTGTTGTTGTTTTTTTTTTTTGGTGGGACTGGTATTTGAACTCAGGGCTTCACACTTGCAAAGCAGGTACTGCTTGAGCCACACCTCCAATCCATTTTGCTCTGGCTATTTTGGAGATTTGGTCTCAAAAGCTAGTTGGCTGGACTGGCCTTAAACTTTGATCCTCCTGATCTCTGCCTCCCAAGTACAGGGTAACCCACCAGCACCCAGCAAAGTATGATGTTTATATGTCACATTCATTGCAGTTTTCACTTGATAATAGAAATTTGTAAAAAGACAATATGTCATCAGTAAGGAATTGGCTAAATAAAAGTAAGGGGTTTCCACAAACTGAAACATTCCAAGTCTGTATTTTACTTACATAAGAAAATTATTTTAATAAAATAAGTCCAAAAATTACAAATTTTATATACTGCATAATATTATATAACCCAAAAGTGAATGTTCACCAAAGTAATGTTTCTCCCTTATTGATGATTTTGGGGGTAACTTTTACATGCTTATGTTTTTCTTTAGACCAAGTTTTCTAGAGCAATTATTTCACTGCCAAACAGTAAAAAGTTCTTTTCATTTGGGGAAATATAATTCCCAGAGTGTTTTAAATCATTCAACCACTAAGAACAAATTTACTTATACATGACTTCATTAATATATCTACTACCTAAACCAAAGTTTTTACACTGAGTATGAGGTTACTGGGTATTGAAAGACCTTGTGCTTGCAGTTCTTGACCACCTTTTGCTGCTTCTACTTTAGAACAGCCCAGGGCCACATGTGTACCTCAGCCTACCGGAGAGGCTTGGAAGACAGGTAGATTTACTTTTTCTCAGAAGTCAAACTGTTAACTAAATTTGTGGTTCCATAGGGCCTGATGCATAAGAGGTCAAAGTATGAGCATTAGGGCTAATTATATAATAGAAGGTCCTCAGATTTTTGTATCAAATAAACTTGATAGTGGAATGAAACCAGAACCCCTTGGAAGACTGATGCAGAGAGAGTGATGCTTATTGCTTTAGTTCTCAGTTTTCACATTAAAGATATGAAAGATACCCAAAATGACATTCTTATTCCTTTGCCATACTTCAAGAACAAGTTATAAGTCTGTTCCTAACAGTTTTTACTGGATATAAATACATACACATCAATAATCATAATACTTTTATTTTAAGCTTCAAATAGAAACAATTTTCAAGAGTCATCAGTTATTTTTAATCAGTCTATAAACCATTATTCTCAATAGTATACATAAAAGCCTCTCACCTTTGTCTCACCTGCATTATTTTTCTGTAAGTCATGTAGCTTTATTTTCAGGCTTTTTTCTTCTCTGTGGATAAGCCCTAATTAAACCTTTTACCTTTGAAGAGCCTGACAGATTGAATGACTTGTTAGCCTCAGTTACCTACCTCTACTTACATGTTTTCCTAAGCCTATGATTCCCCCACCCTTCCTGTTACTGTTACTTGAATGCCTGCACTGGGTTATTACCACCTGGCCCTTTCTCTTTATTCCTTAAGGCAAATCCTTAGCACCTCCCAATATCCCTTACACAGATTGGTTTGTTTTAAATATTAAAGTTATTATTTAGATGGAAAGAACAGAATCATTTGGGGCCTAAAGAGAATACATATAGGTCTGTCTTCAAGTCCCTGAAAAACTGTCATGGAATAGAGTTCATTGAGATTTCAAAAGAGCTGAGTACACATAAAGAACAATTTGGAAACTTCTTAACAGAGATTCAGTAACCACTTGTCAGAGATGATAAAGACTACACGAAATACTAGCCAGCCTTCATGGCCTTTAAATTTCTTCAAACCCTGAGATTCCACAGTTCTGGATGAAAATAGGCAAAAATGTTAGACATTTCACTCCCAATAATATGAGAGAAATGAATGACATTCAGGTCCAAATTAAAATTAGTCCTGTACAGAGGCAGAGCCGAGGGAGAAAGGCAAGTATTTCAAGTTGCCTGCTAGCCCTCTCAGAATATAGACCCAGCCATGTACTAGCTGGGGGCTATTCATTTCTATTGATTTCTTTAAAAGCAAGAGTTGTCATTACTTAAACTCCTAAATGTCAAAATCTAAAGTACTCACCTTTGTGTCTAAGACCAGATAGTACTTTAACTATGATGTAGGAAAACTCTCATGTCCAGGAACCTAGTATGTAGCAAAAGCAATGAAGGGAGGAGCTGGCAGGGTACTGCTAGGGTGGTATAGGGGACACTGCTTATATTCACAAGGCCATGTAGTCCAGGCATAGCGAAGAGCAACCACAGTGCCAAGACAAGAATTTATATCCAAGGTCAAGTTATGGGTGGAGAAAGTGTTCATGGGAGCTGGAAGCCACTTGCATTGATGGTCACTGCAACATGAAATCTAACAAGAGAATCAGAAAACAGAAATGGTCAGGTCAGAAAGGTACACCAAGAAACTGGGGAATGCTCTTTCAGACACACTAGAAGAGAAGAAAGAGGTCACTCTTAGCCAATAACCCATTTCCTACAATAACCAGCACCTAGATGAGGTTGGGTCTGGTTGACAAAGCTACAAGTTAATAAGTGTTCATGTGGGCTCAGTGGTAGAGTATGTGTTTAGCATTTATGAGGCTCTGAATTCAAAACCAGCCCCAAAATAAATGTTCATGTGTTTAAATAATGTAAATCAATAAAGGAAGCACCCTGAACATTCTTCCAATAGTCCCTCCTGGCAAATGGCAAGCAGGCAGGAATGTGAGTTAGCAGAACAGCCCAGCTGCAGCTCTCTGGCACTACCACAGGGGTTGTGCAGTATGGAAGAGGCACAAAGAACTATGGGTACTGTGCCTTTCTCAAGTCAGAGAACAATCCAGAGAAGGCAACATAGATTACCTAGGACCGAAAGGTTAAATTCTGTCCTGACCCCAACCATGATGAACAGCCAGCCAGCAGGTCGCAAAGAGAACTCAGAATGCAGAGCCTCCTTGGGAGTCTCAATTCATCTTAAACCCAATATGGAAAGACACCAAGTGGGTCAAGCATTGACCAGGCACCTGAGGCAGGGGATTCTGCAGTTAGGATTTTGGAGAGGCTGCAGCCTTAGATAAATTACTGTATGAAATTTGTCTTTAATATTTTCTCATCTCCTCCAGTGTCCTCTTTTCACACACCTTCTCCCAGCTTAATTGCCTCAAGATTCCCAAAGACAATCTCTTAAACATTCCATCTAGGAAAGCCTTGACCCTCCACCCTCAACTAAGGAGACTTCTAATTAACTTCTTTAACCCATAGCCTCAATTCCACAACAGAATGATCCTTGCTAGGTATTAGAAGAAAGAAGTCCCATTACATTAATTTGTACTGAGTTACAAATCACCAAGTTTAAACTTTTAAAGGAGACACTAAACTCAATGTCAATGTCAGAATCTAGCATAATGTAACAAAATTATGAGGGGAATATTCTGAGCAATGATTTTTCAATATACAACCTTGGCAATCCATAAACTTTTTCAACATTTAATCCCTTGGCAAAGATGGCATTGTCCTGGATAGGAGCAGGAAGGGAATACAAAAGGATTATCATCTAATAGAGGCTCGTTTTCCTTCCTTAACTGACTGTCCTGTCAAACTTGTCTCTAAGAATGAATGAATTCTGCTCACCCCTCTTGCTCCAACCAACCAGAGACCTGCCTCACACGCATGTTATAATGACAGAGAAGGGCCTCAGTGGGGAGTGACTGACTCCCACCACAGGATGAATTCCTTTTTTTCCCTGCTATTCTTCTCACCTCGAATATCTTGTTGTCCCGCCTCTGCACCTGGATTTGCTGGGAATATGTGAGGCTGAGTAGCCCTTTGTGAGCAAAGAGCTGTATCTTCTCAGGCAGTGGTCCTTGAAAGGTCAAATTCTTTTCACCATAAGCCACAGCACGGGCCCCCAAGTGCAATCGGTAGGCCACAGTCTGTTTATCTCGAGGGTGGATGCTACAGGGTAAAAAAGGAGAACTTCATGAGGTCAACAATAACCACGTTTTAGAAGCTGTATAAAGCACTCTTTAAGAAGATAAGGATAAAGTTGCCTGAACTCGGTGATCAGTGGCAAGTGATCACCTTATGAAATGGCAAATAATAACTCTAGTTGAGGCGCTAGGCCTTCAATTGGTTTGGAAACCTTGAAGCAATAAAGCACTTGGAAAGAAGTAAAGGGAGGGAGAGAAAGAGCAGAACCATTGGAACCAACCTAGGAGAGCTAACATACAGCACTATTATTCCCAACCACTAAATGTCATGTGTTTCATCTGGATCAGATGTTCATCATTTGGGTCCCCTCTAGCTTTTATTTGTTCATTCAATAAATATTATCAAGTTCCTACTATAATCTGAACTTTGTACTGGGCTCCATTTCGTATTTGAAATCCTCTTGCATCCTGTAGCTGGTGTGTGATATTCATTTGGAGCTTTTCACAAAAATTCCATCCTCTCCTCAGTCCATGACAGAATTCCACGCCCTGCTCTCCCTGAAGCTGGTCATGGTCATATAATTGGTTTAGCTGATGCAGTGTGAGCAGAAGCAACTTGTATTGCTTCCAGGTGAAAGCACTTGATTGCCTGTATGAGACTTTAAGGTAACTGTGAAAGGCAGATCAACTTGGAGTCTGTTGTTGTGGGTCTATGAAAGACTGCAATAAGCAAAGTTTCTGTTGACCTTTGGATGTGGAGGGTGAGCATGTAATACATTTTTGCTATGTCAAGGCACTGATGTTTAGGGGTTTTTTGTTACTGCAGCACATCCCCTCATAGATTTTATGTATACACACACACACACACACACACACACACACACACATATGCTAATAAACTCCAATCCTTAGTCCAATCCATCCCCTCACAAGTGAACATCAGAATAAGGAACTATAGACAAAGAACATGGCACTAGTCAAGCAAAACCCAAGAAGCAACCATACCTGCCAAAAGGTGAGTCCCTATCACAGAGATCCATAGCAACAGCCATGAAAGTATTAGGCATCTTTGGGTTGGGGACAAAGCCAAAGTCTGCTGTTTGATGCCAACGGATCTCAGGAAATCCATCATCTGAGTAACCGGTCAAAAATGAAGACAACTAAAAGTAAAAATAATGTTATTTTATTGCATCAGAATCCTGCACTAGTATGTTTTTCATTGGCGGACTCTGCTTCTACTTCATTGGTTTGTCCAAATGCTCATCCAACTAGTATTACTGAGCATCTTAGTGTTGTACAGAGCCTTTCCAAAGATGGACGCAACAGTCCCTATCATCCCGTGTGCTCTTCCACAATGCAACTTGCACACTTAATAGAATTTTTCTCCCTTTGAATCTAGGCCTGCCCTGTAATTTGCTAACCAAGAGAATACAGCAGAATTAATATGCAGATTCTGAGTCTTTTTTCCCTAGAGGCCTTGGCTTTTAGCATTCTCTTGGACATCATGCACTGGCTGTGAAGAAAAAAAAAATTCTAGTTACTCTCCTGGAGAGATGGTATAGAGGTGGCCTTGGAAACTGAAAGATCATGATGAGAGGCTCCAGCCTTCCATTGATCCCAGCTGAGAGGCCAATCCTATGATTTCTAAATCCTCTACTCAAACTGCAACCACAAGCAAACCCAGAGCAGAGATAAGCCATCCCAGCTGAGCTCTACCTGACCAACCCATGGAATCTTGAACAGATAAAACAGCTAATTTTTATTGTGGGACTGAGGTTTTGAACTCAGGGCTTTGAGCTTTGCAAAGCAGGTGCTCTACTGCTTGAGCTACACCTCCAGTCCATTTTGCTCTGATTATCTTAGAGATGGGTTCTCTCAAACTATTTGCCTGGGCTAGCCTCAAGCCTTGATCTTCTCGATCTCAGCCTCCAAGTAGCTAGGATCACAGGCGTAAGCCATGGAGCCTAGCTAAAAATAGCTAATGGTTTAAGTTACTAAATTTGGGATAGATTATTACAAAGTAATAGCTAACATACATTTGTATACAGCACAGGTCTAGGCCCAACCAGGGCAGAAAAGGATCTGCCCTTAAGTGTGAGGAAAATTGCACCAAAGACCCCAATTCTTCATTCCTATATCCACAACCTCTTGCCCATATGGCTTTGCAGTTCCTCCCATTAAGAGGAAGTGCATTTCCCTACCCCTTGTTTCTGAGCTCAACCACATAGTTTGCTTTGGCTGACAGATGGAAACCGAAAATACAGTGTGTCCATTCCTAGCCTATGCTTTAAGAGACCTTGTTGCCTGGTTTTACTTAAACTTCTATACCTCTGCCATCACCAAGAAAAAGACATGGTTGGGCTGGGCTACTGCTCTCAGGAGAAGGATGAAGGCTGTGGAACACAGTTGGCTAGATAAGCCATATGGCCAAGGCCCAACTGGAGCAGGGGTCCGTTTTAGCCACAGAGATCTTAAAAAGCCCACCAGAGATTAGCCAAGATAAAACAATTCTCAGCTCCCCCAAATATATGAGCTATAATAATAAGATTATAAGCAATGAAATTTGGAGGTGGTTTGTCACAAAGCAGAAGTTAGCTGGTACAAGTACTTTACAGCTTTGCTGGGAAGCTAGACCTGAACATAAGAAATAAAAAACATATGAAATGTTAATAAACAATGATATACTATAAAGTAGTATGAGTTGAATGCTTAATTGGTGGCATAGCAATTTGAGTATACACTACGAGTAGACAAACATTATAGGAAAATTTGGCTTTGTAATATGTAAAAAAAAAAAAAAGCTGGATGGGCACAGAAAATATGAGATGTCCCCACAAGTAGCCCTACTCATTCTCCACATATAACCTTTGAAGGAAAGAAGGAGAATGACTGTTTTGAGACTGAGTGTAATATACCTGGAATGGGAAATTTGAGATAGAAAAACAAGGTTGGAAGGGTAACGAGGCAAGTGTGTGAATGGAGTTGCTACTTTAGTCTATAAGCAAAAGGGAACCACTATAGAGGTGGTAGTCGCATAACACTGAGTGTACTAAAATGCCACTGAATTAAACCCTTTAAAATAGCTAATCTTGTAAGGGCAAAATAGTTTCTTCTGGGTATTGAGGGGGAGGGGGAGAGAGTGAGGGGGCAGGGTGGGTGGTAAGGGAGGGGTGGGGGGAGAAAGGAGAAATGACCCAAGCATTGTATGTACATATGAGTAATAAAAATAAATAAAAACTTATGTTTACCATCACAAAAAAAAATAGCTAATCTTACATGGATTTCATCTCAATAACAGAGAGCTACTGAAATTACTGACATGATAAAGGGATTATTTTAAACTATGAATGTAGTGATCATGCAAGAGAGACTTGGTGGTCAAGAAGCTACTATAATATTTGTTATAGTTTAGATCTTGAATGTCCCCAAAGGTGCACATGTTAAAGGCATGGCCCCCAGCTTGTGCTGCTATTGGGAGTGGTGGAACATTTATGAGGTGGGGCCTACTAGGAAAAAGTTAGGTCATTAGAGGTATGACCTTAAAGAGGATAATGGGACCTCAACTCATCTTTTCTCTCTTTGCTTCCCAGCCTCCATGAGGTGAACAGGCCTCCTCTGCCCTACACTCCTGCCATGATGTCCTTGTGCTGTCACAGGCCCAAAACAAGACCAAGTGGCCAGTGAAACCTCTAAAACTGCAACAAATAAAGTTTTCCTCCTTTTAAGTTAACTTATCTCAGGTATTTGTTACAGTGGCAAAAAGCTGACATCACAATATTCTAGACACACAAACACACACAGATTAACCCAGAAAGATAGTAAATGCTCAAAAATGAGCTAAACTGACAAATCCAGAGAGCCCACTGGATATGGGGCACAAGAGAAGGGATACAGCTCGGAATATGTCACATCTGAATTGTCTGCTTGAGATCTAGAGCATCTCATCAAGTAGAACCATAATATTTGGGAAATAATACTGTTCCAAAAAAAGCCCATGAAGGATCAACAGCTCATGTAATACTAGTCAGCTCATTTATTCATTCTCTTTTCAAATGTTTACTGACCAGCTACTAACAATGGCCCAGAAGGTAAGAACAGTAAACAAAATACAGAATTTCTTCCCATGCTTACATTCTAGTGGGGATAAATAATCAATAAACAAGATAAATGAGTAAGTTACGTATCAGATGACAAGTGGTAAGTGCTAGCCTTCAAGAAGTAAACTGCCATGAGTTCTACAGATTCAAGGAAATTAATTCTGCCAACAACCACATGAGCATGAAAGAGAATACCAAAAGCCTCAGAGAAGATCCCAGCTCTGACACCTTTGCTGCAATCCTGAGCAAAGGACCAGCCAAGCCATACATGCCCAGACTCCTCAACCACTGGAATTTTAAGATAATAAATGTGGTTGTATGGATTTAAATTGTCAAAGATGCAGTAATTTGTTATGCAACAATAGAAAATTATAAGTAGAGGAAAAACTTTCTAGGCAGAAGGAAAAGAAAATGCCAGATCCTAGGATGGGAGTATGCCTCATGTGCTTAAAGAAAAAAACAGGTAGCCAGTGCAGCAGAAGTGGGGTAAGCAGATCATGCATAGCCTTCTTGACCTCAGTCACTTGGGGGCCACTAGAGCCTTCTGATATGACATATCTCAAAGGGTCATTGACTGATATATTGAGAATACCCTAAAGAGGGAGATAGGGAATAAGCAGGAAGAAAGACTAATTAGGAGACAGTAATTCAAGGCTTACATGAAGTGAACAGCTCTGCTCCACCACTTATCTTAATCCTAACCTTTCCACCAAGATGTTCTGCCACACCACAGGCCCAGAAACAATGCAGTGAGCCTACCATGATGGTAACCTCTGAAACTACAAGCCAAAATAAATCCTTTCTCCATTAAAGTTGTTTTCTCAGGTATTTTGTCAAAGAGATGAAAAGCCTTACTAATACAATATACTTATGGGCACTGTTGTTTAGGACATATATGCTTGTGATTGTTATATCTTTTCCCTTTCATCAACCTATTATGTCATTTGTTGTCTCTTTTAACAGTTTCTGACTTAAGACTTTTTAGTCTTCTATCTGTTGATTACCATTGTAACTCTCTTTTGGTTTTTAAATGATCTAACTATATGCTATCTAAAGAGAATCACTTGCTGGGTACTGGTAGCTCATGTCTGTAATCTTAGCTACTCAGGAGGCAGAGATCAGGAGGATCACAGTTCAAAACCAACCCAGGCAAATAGTTTGTGAGACCCTATCTCAAAAATCCCTAACACTTAAAGCAACTGAGGCCAATAGGAAAAGGGGAACAGGTACTAGAGAAAAGGTTAGATCAAAAAGAATTAACCTAGAAGGTAACACCCACGCACAGGAAATCAATGTGAGTCAATGCCCTGTATAGCTATCCTTATCTCAACCAGCAAAAACCCTTGTTCCTTCCTATTATTGCTTATACTCTCTCTACAACAAAATTAGAAATAAGGGCAAAATAGTTTCTGCTGGGTATTGAGGGGGGGGAGAGGGAGGGGGCGGAGTGGGTGGTAAGGGAGGGGGTGGGGGCAGGGGGGAGAAATGAACCAAGCCTTGTATGCACATATGAATAATAAAAGAAAAATGAAAAAAAAAATCCCTAACACACATCAAAGAAAAAGAGGGAGTGGGGGGGGCTGGTGGAGTGGCTCAAAGTATCAGCCCTGAGTTCAAGCACAGTACTGCAAAAATAAATAAATAAATAAATAAATAAAAATAAAGAGACTCACTCAAGATTCAAAGTTACAAGTAAGATGAAAGTGAAAGAATTGGAAAAGATATTCATTACAAAAAATATCTGAATGTTTGTGTGGAAGAAGTAGGGTATCTCAATGAGAACATATTTTTAGTTTTCCTAAGATTCCATTGTGAAGCTTCAGTACTTTTTATAATTTCCTATGTTAAAGCTGATTTGCATAGGAGAATTTTAATAAGAGAATTGAAATGTTCCCTTAGTTTCATGTTACAGCCAAAGCACTGCCTTACTACCATTGAGACCTTTCCATATTTTCCTGATGGATTTCTAGTCTTTCTGGAGCCACTCATGAAGCAGTCAGTCTCTGTATACACAGTGAGTTAACAGGATTAATTTCACCTAAACTGAAAGTTGATATACTCCAACTTCTGGGAAGGACAGAGGCTCCCAGAAAAATTTTTCACCATTACTAGGATGCATGTGGTCCCAGTGTTTCTTCCTTTCTTTCTTTTCTGTTTATATCAGTCTGTTCTTTGATTTAGGTAGCATTTTAGTCTTAGGCCTAGTTACAGCCAATGAAAGGCATCAACCTACTCTTTCTCTTTCAAAACAGACCTAACAGTAAGACCACAAACTAGTGCACAGTCTGGGCCAGCACCCAAATTATCTTTTGACTCCATTTCACGATGTCTGACCCCATAAGAAGAGATGCATTACAAACAGACAGTTCCACTCAGTCTTATTACTCACATAGCCCGGGAAATATTTGGCATCATCCCTAAAAAACGTGGCCAAATGAAGCTTTAAGTAGAAGATATTTTCTGCTTCCTGAGTAGCTGCAGAAAAATCCCTGTAATTGGACTATTCCATTGACTGTACCATAACATACTGGCCACCTGGGGGCACCAGTGCATACTCCATACCCAAATGAAATGCTTGTTTTTCCTAATCTGAGATGTGGTGAGGCATGGTTCAGTCCCCTACAGTGATTTGTAAAAATAGTGTGGCAAATGAAGGTATATACCAGCCAAACAATATAAAACTAGCCAAATTCAGGTTTTACAAATACCATACTGCAGTTTGCAGTCTGTCCCTCCAAGCCCCCTTTAAAAAGCATACCCCCTAAAGATTACAGTCCTTAGCCCCTTCATTCTCTCTCATGTTTCTGGCCACTTCTCTACCACCAACTCTTGGATCTTCATCTAGCCCTGGTCTCTCCACTGAGCTCAGTTTCTATATTTCTAACTGTACTCCTGCTATTGCAACCATCTTTCAAACTCAACACTTCTATGAAGCCAATTCATCTTTCCTAACTGACCAATTGTCCTCCAGACATGCTGATTTCTCTCAATAATGACAAATACTAACATTATCTGGCATGATCTAGTCTTTATATGGATTAAGTCATTTAATACTGAAAATAATAAAGAGGTTCAGTACTTTGTTCAAAGTTATATATCTCAAGAAGGGTCACAGCATGAGTTTAAATCCCTGCAGCCCAATTCCAGACCCAGAGTCTGACCTACTATGTTATCATATTGGGTATTTCCCTTTGAGGGAATATACTTATATAAATATATAATTATATTTCCAGTATTCTATATGTTACCAACATATTTTTGTTGACGATGATAAAGTCAAAGCTAGAGGTAAGAGACTTCTACTAAACTGCAAAGCATAAGAGAAAGAACCGGGTCTCTCTGATATGCCCTATTTCCAGCATCTCACACAGTTCATGGCATATAATAAGTATTCAATGCATACTTTTCATGTGAATTGGCCAAAGTCATGTTCAAATCACCATGTACACAAACTAAGAGAGGAAAAATACTACAGTAATACAGAACTGGTGACAGGGAGATGCTATTTTGAAAATACTGAGAATCTCCTTATTTCAAAGTCAAAACAAATATAAGAATGAAGAAAATAATCATACAGGCATTCAAAGTTGAAAGAAGACCTATTAAAAAAAAACTCTTTTGTTGTTAGCTAGTGTGCAAGTGTTAAATAAAAAAATTTACTCAGAAAAAAGGGTATCAGTATCTGTGGGGCTCACAGAGGCAAATGTCTTAACTATATATGTCCATACAGACTACAAATGGCAGTATATAAAGCCTATTGTGCCATCACACTGCAAGCCAAGCTGTGTTTGCATAACACCTCCCTTTTCTAATTTCCAGTGTTCCAGAAAAGTTAAAACTACCACTCTGTCTTAGAAAGGTCATATGAACAGGTGGGGCAAGGCAATTATAAGCTTGAACAAATATGGTTATTCTTTTTATGCAAGGCTGAAAACAGAATTTTTCTAAGTAGTTACCTCTAAGCAAAAGTATGATTTCTCTTGACATATTTTTTCATTTCATGTGGTAAGTCATTTGCTTAATGAATACCAACCAACTAGGTACTAGGAATACAAATGTAATCCAGGAAGATACAGCCATGTATACAACCTCTATGCAAGTAAACAGAGAACACTGAGGGTGCTAAGAAAACACATTACCTGAAGGGAATACCCAGACTTTGGACAATCACAGAACTCTATCTAGGTTGAGACCCAAGGGATGATTAAAAGCTAGCTAGGAAAGTATGGAAGAGAAGATTTGTGCCAGGCAAGGTATATATGTGATGCCTAGAAGTAAGACAGCATGGTACATTCTAGGGGGTGGAAGGGATTAAAACAAGTTAGGGAGGATGTGGGAAGTTTTGTTTTGTTTTGTTTTGTTTTGTTTTTGAGTCAGGGTCTTGCTAAGTAGCCCAGGCTAGCCTTAAACTTGCAATCCTCCTGCCTCAGCCTGGGAAGCACACATTCTTACAAAAAGTTGCAAAAGTATGTACTTATACAAATTTATAAATTCCTACAGAAAACTGCAGACATGGACAAAGCCTTATAAAAGTGTACATTTTTTTTCTGCAGTAGGAGATATCGAACCCAGGTCCTCATGCATGCCAGGCAAACACTCTAATAAAGGTGTGCCTTTTACAATTTCATTTCTGGGAATTTATCTTGTGGCAATAATGAAGCTACAAAGAATTAGCTACAAAGAAAATAAATGTGCCATTGCTTATAAAAGCAAAATATTCAACCAATGTAGGTAACCTATCTGTTAAGAACTCATTAAATATATTATAATACACTATACTTTAGAATATTTTTATAATTCTTACAAATTGCACTGAAAATTAATACTTTATTAGCATGAAAAAGTGTTCACAGTATGACATTAAGAGGAAATGCAAAATATGGTATATAAAATGGTATGGATTCTATTTCAAATATACATGAGCAGAAAAGTCTGCTTTTTTCTAGATTGTAGAATTCTTAATGGTTTTGGGAGGAGGGGTTCCTTATTTTTTATATATTTTCAGTGAACCTGTGATGCCTTTTTAACAAGAAATATTAGTTACTTATTAACTTTTTTAAAAGATTTATTCCAACAGTGAACTCAAATGAAGTAAGCCTTACACTCTATTCTAGACTAGCACACTATGAAGGAAAAGAGGAATATGGATGCCAGGGAAAAGATGTAATGCCCTCACCAATGCCCACAGACCTTCTCTCAACACACACCTGGACAAATCCAAACGGGAAGAAACGTTCTGTTTGTCCCTGGGAGCCATGGTGGAAGGTTTGACGCCAGTCTTCAATGAGTGCAGGGAACGTGCAATTGTACAGGTCTCTGTTATAATCCTTATTAGCCTCCCCTAAAAACAGTCACAGTTGGGAGAGGAATTTGGAGTAAACTTCAAAAATGGTATACATTACTCCCCTCCCTCCATTCGTACCCTGAAATAGTGGTCTTCCCACAGTCTCTCAGGACTGACCTTGTGATTTGCTCTGGCCAGTGGGACATCAGCAAACATGATGCAAACAGAGGCATAAAAAGTGCTTTAGCATAAGGCTTGGCTCTCTCAATGCTCCTGGAAACCTGAGACTATTATGTAAATGAAAAAGGAGGCCGAACCAACTTGCTGAAAGAAGAGGCCACCTGAGAACCATAGGGCCACACAGATAGCCCCAATCAATTAACCTGAGAGGCCAACGTAGGTCCTCCAGTACCTGGGTCCTATCAGACAACCTAACAGGTGACCAAAGACATAAGAGAACCCAGCCAAAATAAACAGAAGCAACCCAGAAAGAATTACCCTCTTAACCCAGAAAATAGTGAGCTAAATAAAACTGTAAAATGATTGCTTTTTTAAGCCATTAACTTCTAGGGTGATTTATTATACAATAAATACCAACTGACACAATGAAGAAACAGCAAATGGAAAACTTACCCTGATACCATACCACACCTTTCAATGTCATATTACATAGTGGATGGATCATGGCATTCCAAAGAACAGAGTGTTCCTGGGGACCAGCTCCAAAATCTGAAACGGACCTGAAATTAGTAAGATGCACAAGTATTACCAGAAAGCTAGTGATCAATCACATGAGGATCAATCTATCCACCTTCACTGGACTTCTACCTGTTTTCACTTGGGACAAAGTTCTGATGAAAAACAACACAGAAGTAAACTGATCCCCTCTGTTTCACTTGAAAACTTATGAACAGTCTCTGAATTTCACCTCCAGGTTCTTCCCAGGATATGTGCACCATGGGTTCAGAGTGGGTCATGACAGTTTTCAGATAAGGTGATTAAACCCAGAAAGGAGGAGAGATTTAATGTGAGTCTCTCATGCAGGCATTAAATTTACCTAACTACTACTCAGCAGAGGGCAACTTCAGTTGGCTTAAATTTTTCGCCTTTATAAGCAATGACATGATATCTTCCATATAGCTAACTCACTGCATACATGCTTAATGCTCAATTCTTTCCTTTAAAAAGTTCCCAGAAATGAATCACTGGTCAAAAAACACATGTAAAAAAGAAAAAGGTCTGGATATGTTCCCAAATTTCTCTGTAGAATACTTATATGGATTTGAGCCAAACTGTCCCACTTAGTAGTCCTATCAGACTTACTTTATCCATGAGATGTTAATAGCACCTAAACTTTAAAGAGTTAATGTGAGTACTAGACGAATTAACATATATAAAAGGCTTAGAACAGTGTCTGGCATACAGAAGACTGTCAGTCAGCATTAGCTTTTGCCTTTACTAAGGAAAAGGATATTCTTGACATATTCTCAGGTGACTACAGTGCTGATAATGGTGAAAACAACACCTTATCTATGCATTAATAAATTCCACACATTCAGTACATATTTGTTTTTTATTCAATCAATATATATTTGAATATTCAACATATACTTAATTCCCCCAAAGGAGACCATGATCCCCTCTCTTATATACTTCACTGGCAAGTTTCCTCCTAGACTAGAAAATGCTTTCTTACCCTTTCTTAAAGATTCCACAGGCTTCCAATGACCTTCCTGATGACCAGGCTTCAATGGGTGTCCCACCCCAGCTGGAGGAGATCAGCCCAATGGGATATTGCAGGGTGTCATACAGGTAACGTCCATAGAGCCAGCACACTGCTGACATGTATGTGAAATATCCATGGCCTAAGCTTTCTGTTCAGAGAAATCATTAAAGGAAGAGTCAGGGTAAAAGTAGATGAATACAAACTGCAACTATTAGATGGGTGTAGGTGAGAAGGGTAGACATGGGCCATCCCTTCTCCTTTCTGAGCCTTTTCAAATGTAAGACAAGAAGCAATGACAAATATAGCACCAAGACCAAGCATTTCCTTCAAACCTTCCCTAGGGAGAATCTTTTCCAAAGGGGAAAACTATAGCCTTGGTGACAGTTTCCTTTTTATCTTTCTTCAATTTTTTTTTTCAGTTGTTCAAAATGCTTGTTCCTATAATGAGGAAATAATGCTCTCAGCCTGGCACAGAGGCAAATGGTAACTATTTTGTTCTCAGTCTGAGTATAAATAATTCACTTATATAATCAGGAAACCAAAACTCTCTAGCCAGGCAAGCAGGCTTCATCATGATTCCCCAGCCCCTTGGGTTCCTCAGAATCTAGGAACGTAAGTCTTCCTCAGTAGGTAAGTGGCACAAAGGCCATTACATCCCTTTCTATCCTGTTCTCCCCCTTTCTTCCTACCTGACCACTCACTCCGACTTAGCTCTGTGGAAGGGAAAAACCAAGTAGGTTTAAAAAATGTGTATTTTTTTTCTGGGGGTTTTATACACAATTTTATAGCTCTAGTAATGAAGACATGAACATGTAAGTGAGGAGAAATCCGGCAAGAAAATAAACCAACAGAAACCAAAACCAGGGTTTAAACTTTTAGCAGTCTAACTCATTTATCCAGATTGCCCAGCAACCAACATAGGCAAGAGAAAGTGATTTCCATGTCAAAGGAAAGTTGAGGAGGAGGTGAGCATGCATATACACACAACTAATAGGATCAATTCAACCCAAGATTTATTAAAAAACCTACTAAGTCCAAGTCACTCTGGCTTATCACTGTCAAAGATTCAAATTCAATGCTGTACAATTCAGGTACTCTAAGAGTTGATAGTGTAATACTGTAAATTCAAATCAATTTCAAATTAATTAGAGTGGAGCACCTACTATGTGTCCTGAACTACTAAATGGTTGGAATATAGTGATAAGAGGAATAGAGAGACTGAATCGCTCCTTATAGGCCTTACAGTTTACAGAATATGATAAATATTAAGCCAAATAAAATACATGGCAAAATATGGTTAAATGCTTCAAGAGGTACAAACAAGTATTAAAGAGTTTTAACACTAAAGAGGAAAAAAAAAACAAATGGAGAGAAGACATAAAAATCCTAATATGGGCTGACTTCTTCCCCTGTGCTTCCATAGTCCCCAATACACAGCTCCATCACAACGCTTAGCACCTGAAGGTAGGAGCTTCATCTTATTCACTCTGTATCCCCATACATAATGAAGAGTCTGAAAATGTGTTTTGGCTGATGTAAAGTAGCTATGAGTAGCTGGCTTAAGGTAGGTTTACTGGTTAGTAGGTGGAGGGAAAAGGAACTATAAAGGAAGAAAACAGGTAAGGAGGCCATGAAAGATATATAGGAATTTAATGAGCAGAGATGGCATTCTAGACAGATGAAAAAATAAGTAAAAAGGCACATCAAATAGAAAATATTCTGAAAGTATTTGGCTAGAGTAGAGATTATAAAAGGAGACTGGTGAAGGTCAATGCTGGATAGGAAACTGAAACCAGAAGTTGAAGTATAGAAAATAGAAAACCACTTGAAAATGAGAATGTGTGGTAGTCAGAACAGACACACAGAAATTTGCACACCTTAATCGCTGTAACCGTGAATTTGTTACTGCATGTGTAATACAGTTAGGGTTAAGGGTGTCCTGCATCATCCAGGTGGGTCCAATGTAATTATATGACTCCTTAAAATCAGAAAACCCTTTCCCAAGTACAGATATCATTATTACAGAGTTGGAGACATATTTTATCCGAGGGTGACAATGTAAATTAGGAGTATAATGGACTCCTAAGTATTTCTCACATCTTTTTTCAGTCCTCTTTAAGATTGTGAAGTGCAAAGTAAAGAAGCCATCTTGGTGGTTTTAGTGGTTGAGGGGAGACATTGCCAATGTGTGTATATTTTTAAAGGCTGACAAAGGTCACCTCACCCATAATTTCCCTGCCATTCAGGCGGTACCCTTGATCACCTGTGGACATGTGAACTCCTTACTTCGCACTCAATTCATTTTCCTACAACTCCAGAGAACGTTTGCTATCCTACTGAACTAGAATTCTGCCTTCCTGAAATGTTTACCATTAAAAATGTTTTTAATTAAAAATGTTTACCAATAAAAAAAGAAGCAGCAGCTACCACTACCTCAAGTGGTAGAATGCTTGCCTACTAGGTTCAATCCCCAGTACCCCCTCCAAAAAAAAAAAGAAGGAGGAGATTAGACAGCATTGGTATGTGTGTAATTCACTAATTATTCATTTTCTGTATTTCCCCCATACCATGTACTGTAAATATCATGAGGTCAGGTGTTCTTAACTATTTCATTTACTGCTACTCCCCCAGCACTCAGAACAGTACCCAGAGCACAATGGGCATTTAGATATTTGCTGAATGCATTAACACTTGAAAATGTAGGAGCAACTGAGATAATGTATGTACAGACAAAAAAGAAAAGGGCCTAGAAAAAAACACAGGGTCCACATTTAAAGAACAAAAAGAATAGGGCGGGAGCTAACAGAGGAGAACTAGGAAAAGGAAGCACCAAAATGCGGGAAGGAATACATAGTTTCTAAAAGGGGTGGTCAGAATGTTGAATCCACAGAGGTTCACAGAGTTTATAATGAGTAGTAACGTTAAGGTGCACAAATTGTTGAGGTGGAAACAGAAGCCAGATTACAAAGGACTAAAGAGGGAGCTCATGGCAAGGCACTGAAAAGAATGAAAACAAAAGATATTCTAGGAAGGTATAACAGAGCAAAAAAGAAAGATAAAGCTTTATGAGAATGGTGTTTGTTATGTTTAGCTTTGGTATGCTTGGATTAAAGAAAAGCTAAGCTTGTGGCAGGGACTGTGTGTCTGTCTTAGTCACCGTGTTCTTGGGGATTAGCACAGAGCCTAACACTGAAAAAGCATGAAATAAAGATTCCATACCAGTCAGAGGAAGAACAGAGCCTAAAGAACAAAAGAAAGCCCTGAAGGAGTAAAAGTTGGCATCTGAATTAGCCCTGAAAGTGCACCAGGCAGTTGTCTCAGAAACAGAAACAAAGGAAAAAAGAGAAGAAAATACAGAGGGTTCCAGTAATGAAGAGTGACTGGCCTGGCTCATGCTAACCAGCCTCAATATTCTCACTGAAGTGGAAGAGTCATTGCCTCACCGCAAGGGAGAAGACTCACTGGTGGAGTCTTGGGAAGAAATGTGAAGTAGTGACCATCAGGATTGGGATAAAAATCAATAAGAATAAAAGAACAGTTCAGTAAAAATCAATAGATATAAACCAAATTGGGGCTTACAGAGTCTACCTAATGCACTAACCAATTACCTAAGAGATGGCATACATTAAAGTACTCACACACCTGAGGTGGGCTTAGACCACTGCAAGTCAACCTCATCAAGATCTTCCAGCTCCTCCTCTGCCTGAACAAGAGAGACAGACAAAATGCGGACAGACTGGTAGGCAGCAGTGTTGGACAGCTCCTGTGTAGCATTAAAGATCTAGAAGAGAAATTGAAATGTGCTTTAACCTAGAGGCTACCACCTCTTACTAAACACTTCCAACCTGCTGACCGCTTTCTGAGTCATCAATATACTAAGATCAAATGAATAAACAAAACCAGTAAAAGACTGGACTGAAGCACCTAGATCCACTCTGACCAACACAGAGCATAAAGCATCATGATCCCAAAGAGGGTTCCCAGACAATGAAACCTCTGATTTTTCCAGAACAGATATATATTAGACTAGAGGAGCTGTGCAGTGTGAAGGCTAAAATATACTATATACTGCATCACTATGATATCCTGAAACTAAGGCTTCTACACTGAAAGGATCTGATAACATAAAGGTTTAGAATTAATGTCTTTAAAAACTGCTGCTTAGAGAACCTCTGTGGAACCCAAAAGCCCATGGGGAGATAGATTTCTGTAATCCATACCACCAAGAGAGGTGCATTCAAAAGAAATGCATCTGAAAAATGATGGATGAAATACACTGGAACCTGGCTCACAATGCTTATTTTCTCATCTCAGTTCTTGGCAGCTCGCCAAAGAAAAGCATGGAGGTATGGTGATCTGAAAGGTGTGTGCAGGGCCCAGAACAGTCCCAAGGAATTAAACAAAAAGAGGATCCATCCAAAAACATATCACATTTTCCCAACTCACTTTATGAACCCTCATTGGCTGCCAAGAGTATGGCAGGGATGGCTTAGGGTTCTTCTGAACAAGAACGTGTGCACTATGTCAAGTAGCTTACTCATTAGTCCTATTAAGTCATGTTCCTCTATGAGTTTAGGCACAAATGAAATTTCCTTTCACCCTGATTTTTAACTTACTTATTTTCTCTTTATTTTAAATTGAATAAATTGGCAATATCTTGGTTTGCTTTTTGTCTGCAGGTTTACTCGAGTCCCCTCTATCCCCTTGGGCTAGTCCAGCTTCTCCAAAACAAAGGGCTAACAGGAGCATTAGGAAGCCCAGTCATCATTTGCCTGGGGGATCAGGCACTCCAGCTGAGTCCAGTGCCACAGCAAGAGGCACGGGAGGCCTGGCTGCTAGCCACAGAGTGCGCAGCTGGCTTGCCTTCCCTCCCACCCACCACAGAGAATACAGCTGGCCCTCTAGGCCACAGTGGAAGAAAGAGGATGGAGCAGCCAGGGTGCCCCCACAGAGCATTTCACTGAAATATGCTACCACTCAAATCACCTTTTGACTTGCCACTATGCCTACTGTGGCCAAAGAGGAGGCCATATGCAAATAAAATGGCTCTTTGGTCACAATGGGAGCTAAAGCCTGAACTGCTTTCTGGGTTGTTTCAACCTGAATGTGATCTTCCCACATTCAGGACGACTATTACACATGGTCTTAGGAAAATTCCATAGGAAATCCAGACCAGTTCCTTCAGGATCTTGCCTGGCAAGTAAAATATAAAATAAACACTGAAGAGTATGAACAAGCTAAGGCACTCACAGTATCTTCTGGCAGGGAAATTATTTTTCAGCAGTAAGTACCTGTAAAAAAGTCGCCTCCCTTGAAATTCAGTTCTGCACTAAGCACGAAGCACCACCGTGTCTTGCTTCCATGGAAACAGGGAATGGAGCTGCTTTCATTCTCTCCACCCACACTAGCTTCCGTACTGCCTGGGAATGCAAGTGCCTCATGGCAATGAGATGCCAGCTTGGGGAGGCAATATGGGAGAATATGCTACTTGTCTTTTAGACCCGTTGCTAACGCTGCAGAGTACTGCCAGGCCAATGGAGTCAGGGTATTTGGCACCTTCTGTATTGTTACCAGCACATAGAACTGAATCCAAAACATTGGCTGGAAAGCTTCCATTTTCAAACTCACATTTGTGTATTATTTCACGCCAGAAATTGAAAGCCACAGAAAGTGTTAACGAAAATCAGGGTGGGAAAAATTCCTGCTGTACCTGATGACAATTACTTCTGAAATTGCTATCCTTTCCCAGTATCACTAGGCCATTTTGATGGAAGCTTTTCCTTGGGGGATATTGGCAGCAAACTTAGGAATAAAGAGATTTCAGGAAGATTTTCATTTAAATGACACTTGGTTTCCCTGCTGATGAAAGGGGAAGCCTTACTCCATCTGCTGAGATCAGATTTCATCTCATCAAACACCTCAGTGTAATTATTTTTCTACCAAGTATTTAAATGAGAATGTAAATGAATACCAAGGTATTTGAAGTCATTAATGCTGCTGAGGCTGAGGGAGAGCACCGCTGTCTCTCTAGGGACCAGACAGTTCGCCATCAAAGCAGCTGCTCACCGGTGTTCATTTTGTAACCTTTATACCACATTCTTGAATTAATGAAGACACGTCAAGAATCTATTTCCTCAGAGAATCTTGGCAGGGAGTCTTCATGGGGGGGCAAGGCACTCATGTGAGTGTGTGAGTGTGTGTGTGTGTACACACGTGTGAATGTATGTGTGCACATGCATGCATATGGTGAAGGTCACAGAGAAACTGAATTATTGACGTAAAAGAATTTTGGGATTCTGTAAAGTTATTTTGCCTTCTACTACAGTATAATATAGCAGTCCTAAAGTTTAGGTAATAACTATAAATAAGCCAGCCAACATAACTGTTATGAATCTTTTATTGGGATATGGTAGCAGCCCTTTTCTCTGGTTTTTAATTTCTCTGCTTGTAAAGGAAGAATATGGGGAGTGCCAGGCTACTGAAAAATGGGTTTCCTGTCTGACATTGGCCATCTTTTTCTGAGTCTAACTAGAAATATCCAAGTCTTAAGAACTACCCTGACTTAGGAGGCAACAGATGAACATTTAGACTCTTCTCCATTTATAAACATCTCACTCAGTGTTATAAATAACATTCAATTTTAAAATTCCACTTTACCCTAACAACAAGATGGGCATACAATCTGCCATTTCCTTCTTTGAATGTGAAGAGTGGTAGGTTATAGTGTGAATCTTACCTCCTCAAAAAGTCGCATGGGGAAGCAAAGGAGAAAGAAATAGATGCAATGGGGGGAGGGGCGCGGTGGGGGAGGTAGTCTGTAGTGGGAAAAGAGCAAAAGGAATAGAGGGAGAGACATGTAATACATCCTACTAATCAGAAAATAAGATTCTACAGACTGTTAAGAGACTAGAAAACTTGGCTTTTGCTTCTAGCAGCACCTAAAATGCTATCTTGCAATCTAACTGCATGGTTTAAGACAAAAAATAAAAATTAACACTTGTAAGTTTTAGATGGAATCTTTTTTCTGTTCCCCTACATCTCAAAGCTCACAGTCCTAGCTTAATACAGAAGATGCTTGAGAGTAAATTCTAGGCAGAAAGAATGTGTTTACTCTTAACAATCAAGATCTGATTTAGCCTGACAGAAAATGGGATGGGATCCCTTGGCAAAGACTGCTATTGAGAAAGTGACTATATAGATACAAACAGATATGGTCCATGCCTTTCTGTGCAAACACAGAACTGCAATTAAAGCATTAGGCAAAGTACTCTTTTCCTTAATGATTTAACAGCAATTCCACTTCTATACAAAACCATGCTTTCTATCTCAATAAAACTTCAAATTTGTATCCATTCATTTATGTTACAAGAATCCAATCAAAGTTCAATTTAATAAGCATTTTATTCAAAAAACTTTCATATATGTATGTAAGTCAGGAAGTAAGAATAACAAAATATTGGTTAGAAAGACATAAAGACAAGAATTTAGACTTTGAATCAGAAAACTAATGATAAAGTAAAGAAGGTATGTCCAGAGTAGGATCTTTTTAGTAGCATTATTTAGTAACAGTTTTCTTTTTTTTAAAGGAAAAGAAGCTATAATAGAAGCAAAACAAGAAATCCTAAAATATGTGAAAGAATTTCATTTTATAAATTTTCCAAAAGGAGAACTGAATTGAGATCATGGTCTAGCAATAGAGATTTTTTTTTTATATTACTGTTTTTATATTTATTCATATGTGTATACATTGATTTTTAAACCTCAAATTTAAATACTTCTCAAAGATGGAGGAGTAGAGAGTGAAAAAATAAAAATTAACTGGAGGAGAAACTCCGTTTTGGAGAAAGAGCTAGGAAAAACAGTAACTTTTCCAAGTTCTTAACCTCTTAAAGGAAACAAATCAAAGTATACAAAGACATTAGTGCCAATCAATAACGGACAATTAATCGATAACTTCCCTCTTCAGGGTTTTAAATCAAATTATTTAATATGTAAAAGTACATTCATAGCACATTACAAATACTTAATAACTAGAAAGTCTTCCTTCTTTTTTCTCCCTTCTCTTCCTTTTTCATTATCATCAATATTATTTATTGTTGCTAAAATCTGCAAATTACCTGTAAAACAGTCATCTGCATATTACTCTGCCCACTGCAAAGCCAGACATCTCCAAATAAAACATCATGAACTCTCTTGGTGAAATTCATTGTTCCCAAAGTCTGTTGTGCCATCACTTCAAAAGGTCCACCAGGCTTCATAGGATCCAGTATCACCATCCAAGTATTAGAGGGTACTGAAAATAACAACAAGCCTCCAAGGAATTAATCAATCACTCAAAATGAAATCAAAAGTCCAACCATACTCATTTATGGCTATTCCCAGCCTCTGTGATAAACTGTATTCACTAAGATTGGCCAAATTTCAAACAAGGGGATAGAGCTGACAAGAGCAGTCACATTTTTATCCTTAATCCGTATAAATCCCTCTTTATTTTTAACTCAAGTATTCACAAGAAAAATAAGTTACCCAGTTGTAATCCTAAATTAGGATAGACAAAAATACAGACATTAAAATTCAAGGAAGTTTTAGTAAAAAAAAAACATAAAATAGGAATTCTCATTATACTATCCAACTGTCAATAGTAACATAATTTAATCTTTCTGATTTACAAAGAACACCAAACTAACTTGCAATCATCCAATCAAATATAACCACGGGTTAGAGAAAATCATTTATAATCTGAATCTTATCTTCCCCTTACTATTCTGAATCCCCTTGTCTATCAATCCTCATCTCCCTCCCATGTTGCTAACAAGGATTAATACTAACAATGGGCATGGAAACATCACAATGAAACCCCTTGGTACAATTAATGCACACTAATAAAAATTTTTAATTAAAAAAATATCACCAGTAGTTCTGGGTTCTCTTACCAACAAACAGATATGTGAAGAAATTGACACATCAAAAAGTAACAGGGGGAATATAAATTAATTTCTCTTAAAAAAAAAGAAATTTTCATTTGTCCAATTAATTACTTTCAGAGTAATTTGCAAGACTTAAGGTTTTTGGACTCAGGGAGATAAGAAGCTATACAAGACCCTATTTCAGAAATGCATAGCCTGTTCCTTAGGAACCACCCCTTTCGTCTTCATTCCTCTCAGCCACAGACAGGTTCACCACTGGCAGCATCATACTCAGAGACTTAAGGAAAATGCCTCCAAAATAGCAAAAATGATGCCTAGGAGACCCAAACAACATGAAAGAGGTAGAAAAATGAAAGTGGAAAAACACAGAAAAAATTGTTTCAAAGAATATGAACTGAGTTATAATTTGCTGTCACCAAATCAATATAAATGCAAAGGGAAAGAATGGTAAGAATGGGAAGTAGCGCATCCTAACGTTCTTATACCTAACCTGTGAGAAACAGTAATTATAAAAATACCATCCAACTGCCTACTGGGTGCTAGACACTGTGTGCACAGTTCTTTCTAATCAGAAAGCACTAACCAGAAAAGAAGAAGCATGAGATACCCAGATGTACACTAGGAGATTAGTACAAGCTTAAAGCATAAAGGATTGCTTAGAGTCCTAGAGGAAATATCCAAAACCCCAAGACATGTTTGCTCCTCTGAAAAATGTAACTAACTAAGCTGGTTACTCTACCTCAAGGAGTTCAATTAAGCCCAGGACCAAATGTTCACTATTGTTTTATCTATAACCAATACGTAGACATCAACATATTAAATGTATAATTCACCTAAACCAGAAAAATCACTGTTTTGGAAACAGTGGGCAGTTAGTACAGATTGTGTCGCACAGGTGTGATGTGCTCCATATGGCTCACACTTCTGAGCAGGCAGACATTCCAATCTGTCCTAATTCAGTCTTGCCAAGGTCTTTCCAGGCTTCCTGCACTGACACATCTCACTAAAGCTCTGTCCTTCTGTCACCAGCATTATTCATTTATGGGGATGAGGTCAACCCCACCCTGAAAACTTAGGCAGGACTATTTCTTAGCTTTCTACTACTATTCAATGTATTCTTAGTTATTGCTGTAATTAGTTGTTTACCCTAATTAACAGACCACATAGCTGGTAAAGAAAACTACCCTCAGCAAAACTCCTGAAAAACTCTTCTGCTCAATAATAAAAAGAAAGTAAAGGGGGGAAGAAAAACATGGCACCACCATCCTACTACAACCAGAGAATAAGCTACCAGCAGGACTAGAGCCTGAAAAGAACTAGCCTCAAGACCCAAGCCTGTTCTTAACAACTGTCCTCCCAGATAAACCTGCTTTTAACTTCCTCAGACCCTGGAGAACTTCCTTCTGTGCTAGCTAGTCCTCAAGTTCTTTTGCTTTCTAATCTTTTCCCTCTCCCACATAAAAGAAAAATAAGCCCTGACACAATAATGAGTGTTCTGAGATGTCAATTTCCTGTCAAGGCAGGAGAAATCTGGTACACTACAGAGGTTACCAATGGTCACAAAGTGATGGGATTTGTTCCTATGTGAGCATTGTATATATACAAAGGAGACCAGCACCTGTAAAGATGTTTTTTAGACCAAAAGCAAGGGTAGGATTCTTAAGGCAAAAGCTTCCATGTTTCACAAGGAGAGTTGACTAGTCCTTGGCCAGTCTAGTTCAGAACTGGTTAGTTGAAGGGGAGCTTGCCACAAGCCAATGAAGACCAGTTAAGAGCTTTTAGAAACTCTTCAGTCCTGTAGATTAAATCTAAATAGAAAACAAGCCACCAACCACAAAGAGCTCATCATCACTGGGTGCAGGCTTCCATTCAGCAGGCTTCCTTCTGCTTCTGTGGCTTTATGAGTATAGTTGCTTTCCTTCCTCCTTCTAGACACAGATCACTTGCTATCTTGTAACCTTTTTTACCAATCCTGACCCAGGTTCCTATCAATTGTCATTTTCATTACATTCAAATCTCTGCTTCCTTGCATTCCCTCTTCTACCATCCAGAAAAATTAATTTCCTTCCTTCATTATACAGTTACTTAGAGTGCTTATCACATGTCAGGCACTTAATCAAGTAAATGATAAACACCAGACCTGGGCAACACTGATGAGAAAGCCATGCAAAGTGACTAGGACTTAATGTTTTTACATGGTAACAACCTATTTGGTAGTCCATATGATCTTCATATTCCAGCCAAGGACATAAGTAAAGAATTTACTCTATCTCCATTTTCTCTGCATCTCCCTAATTAATTTCAACCTCACAATTGGAAGAGAAAACAATCAAAGGGAAAAAAAATAAAACAATCTGTATAGAGAAATTACCAGTCATAAGGTGTCTTCTTGCTTTTTCTTTTTGCTATTCACATCAGATGTTATTTTGCAGGTTATTGTGCCAAAATCTCAGATGCCAAGAAGAGAAAAAAACAATAACAACAACAACAAAAAAATCTTGTTCATAACCTTTCCAAAAGGAAAAAACCTAATGCTGAAAGCAGCAGCCCTATTCATTTCTCCTCACAAAACTTTACCAGCTGCAAAGTGTTTCAGTGGCTTTTGGAGGTAGCTTAAAGACGAAGAAGATCATTCTGCCTAAACCATCCTTTATCAACCTACATTTATTCTATAACCTAAAATTCAAATCCACCACCATACCTGAATGCAAAAAGGAAGGAAGGAAGGGAGGGAGGAGAAAGAAATAAAGTGTAACTACTTTTCGGTCAGTAAGATTGCTCATGCAAATTAAACTATACTATGCTATGGCAGACACACCCTAGGGTGACCTCCAAAATCACACCTTGTGCTATCCCCTCCTCTCAAGAGCAAACAGAACTTGTATCTGCTTCCAACCAACAGAAAACGGCAAAGGGAATGATGGGATGTCACTCCTGTGATTTGACTATGCTATTGGAAAAGGCCAAGGGGTTCTGCAGATGTGATTAAAGCCCCCTAATCAGTTGGCTTGCAGTAAATAAAAAGGAAGATTATTCCGAATAGGCCTGACCTAATAAGGTGAGACCTTTAATAGAGTCTAGAGGTCAGAGATTTGAAGCAGCGGAGATACTGTCATGAGATCTATCCCCTCAAGGGAACCAACTCTGCCAGCAACCTAAGGTAACTTGGAAGCAGACACTCCCTTGTCACTCCTCCACCTGAAAACTTCAGACCTACAGAAATTGTGAGATAGTGAAGGTTCACTGTTGTAATCACCAATGTCTGTGGTAACTTGTTATGTAACATGGAAAACTAGTATGCATGCTACTACTGCAAACGGGTAGGGAGCATTTTTCTAAGTTAGAGAAAATGAATCTATTTACTCCAATCCCAATGACAAATACACAGACATACTCTAACTTTATCACCTGCATACACACACCCCTACCATGTACATCAAAGTGGGGTTCTATATCCTATTCCTACTCTCCCTGGTTTTAGTTCTTATGCCAGAATCATCACACATCACTTGACAACACTGTTTGAACTGACCCCAGTATCTGCCTATTCAAAACCATTGTTCAGGTTTTAATTTCCACAGTGTTTAAGTATCAGACTGTTAGAGAAAAACGTTTTTTTGCGAGGGATGATATAGGGGTTTGAACTCAGGGCATCGCATTTGCTAGGCAGGCACTCTATCATTTGAGCCATTCCTTCCAGCCCTGTACAAAAACTTTTACATTGCTAAATCCCACTCCATTCTAGGTCCCTAGGGGGTTATAGGTAATAACAAATATTATCAGAAGCAGCTGGAGTGGAAAATTGAGGTAGTCTAACTGAAAATCTAAGTCCTCATTAAAATCTAAAATAAAAGCAACTATTCAATATCCTCTGTAGTGTCAGTCCAGCCCAAGTGAACCTCAAACCATCCAGCCTCAGCCTCAGCTTCAGCCTCAGCCTCCCAGATGCTGGGGTTACAGGTGTGTGCTATCACACTCAGTTTGTAGTGTCACTTTTGAGAGACATTTTCTGGTGTGCTCTATGAGTTTTCTTACAGGTCTACCTTCTTTATTCCAAATACTTAATCCATTTTGCTTTGTGCGTGAGACAAAGCAAGATGCCCACTGATGATGTAACTGTGCTGATTTTTATAAACTAAAATATCTTCCTTCTCTACCAAGAAATTTTGAAAGTCTGATAAATAGATCTACCACTACCACCACTAATAACATCAACCCCTTCTCCGGTGAAATTATCAACAGTCCATAAATCACTAGATTCTCTTAAATTCTGATGGCTATTTTAACTCCAAACAACATTATCACTTCACAGTGGAGCGTTACTCGAACCTAAACCACTCAAAGCAAAAGCACAGCATGAGAGACTGAGCTTCTGGATGGTGAGCACTGTTTGTATTCTTTGACTTTTCTTAGGGTTTCTAGCTCAGTGTTTTATATGAAGGAAGCCCTTAAGAGATGTTTATAAAATTGAACTCGAGATAAATGAGCAGGTTCACGATCACTGTGAAGGAAAAAGGAAGCACGTCTCTTAACGATTACCTTTTATTCCTTCCCATTACCACCTACCCTCTTGCCTTGTCTCTGCCCACCTCAAGTATTCGTCCTAAAACAGGCATGGGGTGGCGGGGGGTGGGGGGAGAGTCTCTAAAAATAATGCATAAGGACAATCTTAAAAATTGAAATGCTATAGAATATCATGTGCTTTTTTTATCTATTTCTACAATACTAGGTAGTCTCTGTCTCCTGCATATTTATTTGTAACATTATCGGCACCAAGGAAATTCCTTTTCTTCTTTTTAAACCACAGCAGTTCTTTAGATTTCTAAATCAATGTCATTCACTGCGAAGACCACTATTTTCACACAATACTACTCATTTCTAATAGGAACACAACATCAACAGAAAGCACTGCTAGTCCTGAAATTCATTTTCAGGATAGACTGCACATCACCTGTGGCATTAAGGTCAAAGCAGAACCATGTCTCTATCAGCTAGTTATAGTTTCACCTATAACATTCTTACCTTCAAAAGTCTTAATATCCCAAGAACAAGAAGTGCTTACTTTGCATATATGCCTGGCACATAGTATTTTTAAATGCTTGCTGAATGGAAATTTACTGAATTGTGAAGACACAGCACCAAGGCATAGATGACTCTGGACTGGACAGTCAGTTCTGTATACTGACAGTGCTAACAATACAACCCTTCTCAGGAGCCAATCGCATGTATTTTCAAACCACCAATGTGTATATTAACTCCACCACCCCAGTTAGCCTTCCACCTGTCTCACTCTCACCTCTACATCCCATAGCTCCAGCGCTACCTCTATCAAGGCCCATCCCTGAGCATGTCTTCCTGCATCCTCTGACTTCCACCTTTGCCTCCTCCACACACTGTCTTCTATATCTTTGTCTCTTCTAGACAAAGACCCCTTTATAAGATCTCCCTGCTTATGGAAGCTGCTAATTCTCGCCTTCTTGACATCCATCCTCATAACCAATTTCTCAAGTCCAGCCCTCAATCATGTCTTGCCTGGATATCATAAGATCCTGCTAAAAGGTCTACTACCCCTATCTTAGAATGAGCTCCAATCCATCTTCTACAGTGCTGCCAAAGTGATATTTCTAAAATACCCATCTTACCATGTGATTTTCTACTTAAAAATCTATTGCTCCAGAAAATGTTATACATATATACATATATGAAGATAAGTATAATGAAACTTACCAAATACTGTTTGAAAAAGGGAGGAAGGAAGGAGGGGATTAAGGGAATACAATACAGGAGGTGAAACTTGTTCAAAGTACACTGTACACATCTATGGAATTACCACAATGAAACCACCTGGTACTATTAGTGTATGCTAAAAATTTTAACTAGTTAATTCTTTAAAATCTACTAATCAAAGATGTACATTCCTTAACAAAGACAAATAAGCCTCCCTATCTTCCCAACCTTATCTCCTGTCATCTACCACTAATCACTTACATTCCAGATCAAACCATCTGCCTGGCATTTCTCCAGTGATCCATGTGCACTCCTGCCCCCATGCCTTTGCCTAGGCTTTCCCCTCTACCTGTTTGTCCTACTTATCTTTTAAGATCAGCTTTAGACTAAGTTCATTATTCCTACCACCCTATTAAGCCCTCCCATACAACTCATCCTTCCTTATTGTGGCACTTATCACACCTAACTATAATTACTATTTTCCTGCCTTCTCCCCTAATCTACAGGCAGCATTAAGATAGAGGCCTCATATGCTATCTGACACGTAGTAGGCACTCAATAAATATTTCAGTGACTGAAGAAAAAATAATAGCAACAATAATAACTGGTAAAAGTCACTGAGCACTTACTGTGTGCCAAGCACTGTTCCCAGTACTTTATATATGTTAATTCATTTAATCCTCACAATAATCCTCACAGTAAATAAGTATTATGACCATCTCCACTTTACACACGAAGAAACTGTGACACAGAGATGTTTAATAACATGTTCAAGCTTATATAGTCATTAAATGACAATCAGGACGTGAATCCAGAGCCAAAGTTCTTAGTCACAGCTCCATACTGCTTCTCCTTTATATATGATTCAGCTCAAATGTCACTTTCTATGGAAACTTTCCCATACCATCCAATCTACACTTCATGTTTCTCTCCTGTATCCCATGACACTCCACATACATGTCCACCATGGTTTTCATCACACTACTACCTGCCTGGGGGTCTATTTGTATTGTTCAGTGAGCTCCTTGGCAGCAGTGACTTTGACTGAGCCTTATTATTCTTTGTTGTATCCTCAGTGCCTACCACACAGTAACCACTCAGTAATGTGTAATTACTCAATTACACATACAACTTTTATAAATGGATGGATAGATGAATGGGCTGGAACATAAGCATCCATTTTCAAATGATCCAGCAGGTGGCAGAAGAAGACAATAGCTGAACAGAGGATGAGCTGCCTTACCTTTCACACTGGCCACTTTTTTCATGATGGTTTCCTGACCTTGGCACAAGGTCACTGTCACTATGGCTCCAGGTGTACCATAGCCCCAGATCACTGCCCCAGCAGGCGCCTTCTGAAGCACCATGTAATTATTCATGTATGAAGCAAAGCGAAAACCGATACCTAAAAAATGTAGCAAACACTTAGAGGAGCATTATCAGGAAGATATAACACCAAGTGTATCTGGTGAAACAGCAAAGAAAATACAGTCTATACAAAACAATTGGAGTATTCTCAGTCCTTTTACTCCTCTAAACCTAGATCTTATTTCTCCTAATTAGGTAAACAACATACCAAGAATAGTTTCCAACCATATGCATCATAGTACAAGATGACTATGGAGACCTCAAAGAGCCCAAGGAAACCAATGTACCTTGGCCTCCTTCTCTCCCTTTCAGAGGTCTTGATCTATGCTCAGATTTGGCCCTAACACTTGATCTTCTCCCCCTAAATTGTTCAAATGCACCTTTCATGCCCTCCACAGATGGTGTTTATGAGGGAAATCAATCCCTTCCTTCTCTGACTTTCTACAACCATGCCTATTCCTAGCAGCAAGGAGGAAATAGCATGCCTCTCTCCAACGTAGCTTCTCTAATATTTCCCCTCTTAATCTCCCTGTCCAACTTATCAATGTAATTGCCTTCAAATAATCCCCTTATTATAGTTTTTTCAGGACCCAATGTACCATATTTGTGAATATCTGCAACAAATCTCCTTCTTCCTCAGGTAAATTCAGATAAATCAAGACCCAAAAATAAAGTCAGTGAGAGACAGAAGGTGAAAATGTCTGAGGAAAGGACTTTTGTCACAATTTTATCCATTTCACAATGTAAATCATACAAAAAGAAAAGAGGAGGCACACATGAAACTGCAGATTCAATTCTAGAGAGTCACTAACAAGACTGAATAAGAACTCACTTTAACGAGATCTTTCCTATTTTTAACTTCCATCTTATATCAAAGCATTTTTAATAACAAGCATCCATCCAAATGATCTCATTGAGCTCCTCATCAAAATTTAACAAGGAAAATAATAAATATATGTCCCAATCTGTCTGAACAAAACAAGCCAAAAAAATCCCTAAAAGAAAATAATTTATAATTAAGGGGTTTTTTTAAATGGGTTTTAAATAAAAATGATAGGCAAGATAGAGACTCAGAATTAATAAGGTTGACATTTCTCTTCCTGAAGCTTCAAATGACAATGAGCTCCTTAGGCTATACTTATAGGTGCAGTACAGCTAACGGGGTCTCCTTACAAGCTTGGTGCCCTATTTATACTGTTCTTGGAATAACAACCCAATCCCTAAAAACCTGTAGTTCTCTGTCTCTCTCTCTCTCTGTCTCTCTCTCTCTCTCTCTCTCTCTCTCTGTCTCACTAGCTCTCTCTCATCATGAACCATACATAACAATCAAAGATCATCAGAAGGCCTACCAGGCTGGACATGCACAGCTAGCAAAACACTCTAAGACCACAACACCGCAGAACTGCATAAGCAAGCTAGCAGCCTGCTGGGGGAAGGGAAAGGCACATGTGTGGGAGGGCCTGTCTCAGGTAGGTGCTTCATATGGAAAAAACCCAAAAATCAAAGGCATAAATAAGAGCTAAGTAGAGAGAGGTGGGAGTGGAAGAATGGAGTGAAAACAATGGCTGCTGCCTGCATGTTTGTGTGTGTAGCCAGTGCCCATAGGCTCAGGAAATGCCTTTTCAAGCCAGTCTGTGTTTGCCAACACATACTTACTGAACCTAAACCTCTAGTGCATGACTCTATGCTGGGCTAAAAAATTTTAGAGGTGGATCTTTATGATTATGGTATAATCGATTTATGTTGCTTACTGATCAAGGGGTATAATCATATTACTGTTCAAGAGACAAAGACTCAAGTAGATTAAGTAATTTTCAAAAATAGACTGCATAGTCAAGAACTATTTCTTTATTACTACCTACTATGTGCCAGAACTATTTTTAAATGGGGGTGGAGGAAAAACAAAAAAATCCTTGCTGGCAGGGAGCTGACATTCTACTAGAAGCTTACTGTGGTAGTCACAGTGCTAATGACACTGCAGACATTAAATTTCTTGGACTCACATGAAGTCACAAGGTAATGTATGACAGGATTAGAAATCAAGTCACCTGATTCCACCTGTAATTTTCACGTTCCAACAGTTACATCTGGATGATAATCAAAGAAAAAAAAAAAAAACACATTCTCTGTCCTTATAAAGCTCAAATTCCAAGCTGATTAGACAGTGGAACATTACCAAGGAATTGAGCAATGGGCAAAAAAGAATAAAAGAAAGAAGTGAGTATTTATGTCAAATACAAGACACATTTAGCACTTGAATTTTTCAAGGTCTTCAATTTCTCTCTTCAGTTGCATCAGAGAAGAATAATGAGTGAAGTGGGAAGAGATCATCATAGCAAGGGGACTAACAAAATTCTTAGGTCAGTGGTTACCTCTGATGGGGACTTGGCAGATTTACTAAGGAACACACTGGCAGTCTCAATAAAACACATGTTATAGTTCTCAAACTGGGTGGTGAGCTCTTGGGTCATTTCACTGGGTTTTGTTGTTGTTGTTACATATAATTTGCTACATCTCAAATAGTACATGATAAACTGAGCAGGAATGGGAATAATTTACACCTTTTTTTTTTGGCAGTACTGGGGTTTGAAACTAAGGGTTTCATGCTAGCTAAGCAGTTTTACCACTTGAGCCACTGTGCCCAGCCCTAGGAGTAGGGATAATTTAAAGATGTTAGGGTATTCAATCAAGTAAGAAGGAAGGGAATTTTAGAGCATGAATGAATGAATGAAAAATACAGTCAGTGTTAATGAAGATAATGTAATGACATGATCCAGAGGAAATAAAATACTAAGTCCAGCACCAGTGGCTCACTCCAACAACACTAGCTACTTGGAAGGATGAGATCGGGAGGACTGCAGCTTTAGGCCAGCCCCAGCAAACAATTAGCAAGATCCCATCTGCAAAATAACCAGAGCAAAATGGACTGGAGGTATGGTCCAAGCAATAGAGCACCTGCTTTCAAAGCACAAAGCCCTCAGTTCAAATCCCATTCCCACCAAAAACACACCAAAAAACACTGACAAAGTTAATAGCCTGTACCAAAGAGACTACTAAAATAATGGTTCTACTCCCCTCTTTAGCTTTTTCACCACCTCTGATGATGGACCCAGCAAGCAGAGTGGCATTTTTGTTAAACTCTGAAAACCATCTATGGGCAGCTGTTTGGTGCTTAGGTATAGCAGCAGTTGTGCCATTCTCCCACCTCAACTTTCATTTCTTTTCTTATTTATTGCTGTGCTGAGGATCAAATCCAGGGCCTCGTGCATACTAGGCAAGCATTCCACCACTAAGCTATGTTCTCAGCTGCTAGTTTCATTTCTTAACAGGAATCTTGGGGTCCCCACTCTTTCAGTAGTTTGATGAAGACAATCAAAAAGTCCACCATTATCACTTTTCTTTGCATGAACAGGCAGAGTCTGTCTTCCGGGTCTCTCCTTGCTGTGACCCAGTGCCTAGCTCAGGGTATTCAAAAGGTAGGCCCCATCCTGCACAACAGCCTCTGGAGTCAACCCTTCCTCAATTCCATGCATATTATCTCACCACCAATGTCTCTAAACTGCACCAGAAACCAAAGCTGAGTCTTAAATTATTCTGAGCGAGTGAGGGGGTTGTATTTCTTAGCCCTAATAACCACTTAAACTAGTAAAATTTAATTCCCTCAAGGAACCCATCCTGATGCAAACCCTCCCTAAGGGCACCACTGAGGGGGCAGATACTCTGCATGACTCAGGCACCTGTTTCCAAATATTATCTAACTAGCTTCGCCCCCTTCCCTCTGAGTTTCCCTGAGGGCCTGGGTCTGGGCACAGTAGCGCTCCCCACTCAGATAAACCCAGCTTTCCCTCTGCCCCCCACTCCGTGTGTCAAGGACGGTGGGTGGGAGTGAAGAAAGCGGGCTCACCCCGCAAACACCCGCACGCCAGGACTGGTTAGGAGAAGATCGCTCCTGACCCGATTGGTCACAGATCTTGAGAGCGTGCGCGCTGGCCGAGATCCAGAACCGCATGTAGGACCAGTGAGTCGGCGCAGTTTGACGGACAGAGGTTCGGCCGAGCCGGGCCGCTCACCTGCACTTCTGCCGGCCCACAGGAGTAATGGCAGCAGCAGCCCAAATACAGCCCCCGGGGCCATGCTTGCGAGGATCTTCCGCCAACGCGCTGGACTCAGAGAAGCACCTAGGCGGGGGCGGGGGCGGGGGCGGGGGCGGTGACTGTGGTGGGCGGGGCCTGTGGACCGGCCCCACCCTCCCCGAGACCTTTAGTCCTTGAAACCATCTGCGTCCATAGGGCGAATCGCGCCTCTCCTTCTCGGCCTCCGTAGTTTGTTTGCGCTTTTGAAAAAACGGTTACCCAGCAACGAGAAAAAACAGGCGGAACCATCGGCACCAACTCGGAGAGAAAGTAGAGGTGAGGTGGTTTCCCCTACTTCCTCTCCAGCACCGAGGCCTCGCCTTTTCCTTTCGTCTCTCTAGTCTCTCAACATCCCCGACACCCCTGGGAACCCTGGAGAAGATTGGGAACCAAGGACAGTCTGGAACCCTAGGTCCTCGACGTCTCGCCATGGTTTGACCCTCCCCCTCCGTCTGCCCTCACTCCCCAGCTTGGAGCAGGGACTCTCCAGTCCTTTTTACAACTCTAGAATGATTCAGAACCTCATCTCCTGTTAACTCAAAAAAAAAAAAAAAAAAAACGGAAAGAAAGAAAAAAGAGAAGACCCTCCACAGATCGCCGCAGCCTGGGCCCTACCACGACCCCCGCCTTTATTCCGCCTTGACATGCTCCTTGACATGCTCACAAACGCAGCTCAGTAGTCAACCGGCTGTTTGCCAGTTACCTTTAATTTAGCCCTTGTATTATTCCAGGACGGGAGGAGAAGGCCTGGTCACGACAAAACCAGAATATATATAAGAATCCCAAAACTTGAAGGCTGGGGTTTCAAAACCATGACCTTCTCCCTCCCCTCCTCAACCCCATTGCACAGTACAGAGGTCCTTCAAGACATAGTAGGTCATGTTTCAAAGTGGCAGCTGAGAGAAAAAAAAAAAAAAGTGCGAAACTTCAAGCTAATTTTCTAGCACCAAGACTAGTTTTTAAGTTTTGTTTTAGACTTTAAACAGGGTGTGCTCAGCAATTGACAATACAGTCAAACTAGCTTTGGACTGTCTAAATACTTGTGGGATAGCAAAATTACTCTCACCTTTTAAGGCCAGGAAGACAGAGGGACAGAGACAAAAAGTACTTAGTGTTATAGTGAAGATTCTTGTGCTTTTATAATTTTTTTTAACTGACTCAGCCAGTTAAATGGATCTGTGTAATCTAGTTCCTAATGGAGAATTCAAAATTCTGTGGAAGAAATTACTGGATTGGGGTCATGTGAAATGAAAAAAGAAAGAATTGAAGTCCAGAAAATGGGTTCTTGGAAGTAATTTGTTGTCATAGTTGTGATAATATAATTATGATTAGACAAATTTAAAGACAGTACTTTTTAATGAATCTCTAGGTACCATAGGCAGTTCTTCCCAAGAAGATGTCGATTCCATTCTCCAACACCCACTACCGAATTCCACAAGGATTTGGGAATCTTCTTGAAGGGCTGACACGTGAGATTCTGAGGGAGCAACCAGAAAACATACCAGCTTTTGCAGCAGCGTATTTTGAAAACCTTCTAGAGAAAAGAGAGAGTAAGCTTTTTGAAAAAATAGGTATTGTTTAAATAAAAGACTAAGCATTTGGTTATGATAAAACATAAGACCATCTTCATTCTACAGAAAGCCTTTATGAGGCAGGTGGCTTCAAATGACAGTTCTTGCTATTTGAGACAATATGTGCCTTTTTTTTAGTTTCACATTATTCAAGTTTATTCTCCAGACCTCCTCCATTGTATTTCAGTGCACACACTGTGTGGAAGGGGCCTTCAAAAGATGGTACAGTATATCTCTCCACTTTATAACAGACTGTTCTTATTACTCCTAATAGTTGATTGTTCTTCCTGAAAAGATAATTTGCAGTTTTCTTTCAATTTTGATTTGTCTCATTTGAAAGTATTGTAAGTGTTATAAAAATAATTCAACATTCCTTAGATTAAGTAAATTGGTATTTGCTGGGGTATATGAAACTTCTTCAATAAAGAGACAAACTACTTTGAAAAGACTACCAGCTTGGGAACGTATATATTCTTTATACATTCAAAGCCCATCCTGTTCAGAAACTAAGATCCACAGTAACAGTAGTTCTTTGATTGAGATCCAAAGTAAGTTCCTTTGCTCCCACAATTCCCCAGCCTATCAGGACTCGTCCAGTGATCAAAAGTAAATCATTACAGCTTGAAATCTGTACTGAAAACCTACTCTTGGGCTAGGAAGGTAGCTCAGTGGTAGAGGACTTACCTAGAAGATGTAGTTCAATTCCTGGTACCACAAAAATAAGTAAATAACCTACTGTCATATTTTTAGCATTCGATCATTTTATTCACAAAATATAAGCAAGACTTAAACCCACTTTCTGTTGAGAATTTTTACTCCCAAAAATCTTACTGAGAAGGCCTTGAGATGCACGTTGAAATGAACACATTTTCAAAATTTACAAATACAAACCAATTCTTTATACAACAGTTCTCTATAAAGTTCATCAATGTAAAAAATAACTTTGTTTGAACTGAGTATAAGGCATAAATAACATACTCCTAACTAGAACAACCATTTTCTATATGCCATTCTCCTTACTTTTGGTTATAGTATTCCAACAGGTGGTTAAGTGTGACTAAAAATAGCCACAAGAAAACAGACATTCCATTGTAAATCATTTTAGAGAGGAAAAAAAAACTAGCACAAGGCTTGAATTACAACAGCTCCCAAACAGCTCCACCCCAATGCCTGTTTTGTTCTGCCCTTGCAGAACTCAAAATGTCTACCAGTTTCCTGACTATTGTTGGTCTTTCCCATATCCAGCTACGGTGAATACAATGCACAATCTGAAACTTTTAAGTTCCACTGAAAATATTTGGCAAAACCATATTTAGGGAAAAGGGCTATTAAAAGCAATCCTTTGGGAAAAGAGGTCATTTGTCATGAACACTAATTTTGTTATTATAACATTAATTTTACAAATTCACCGAGTTAAAAAAGTCTTTAGTCATTTGTTTAATTTTAGAACTCAGAAACATACCATTACAAAAACATTTGAGTCATTGTTACCACATCATAGTAATAAAAGCAATAGATGATTCAGATTAATAGCCCAGGATACTATTTCTCTTAACTGATAAACAGTGGGTAAAACCATTTGAAAAATTGAAAACCACACTCACTTCCACCCTTGTTAACCAAAGATGAATTACTCAGCTGATACAAGCATCAGAATTTACTCTCTTTAGAAAGACAAAAGAAATCTAGTCTCCCACACAATGCAAGAATTCCCTTGCCATCTTTCCTCACAGGTAACTTTTTTTTTTTTTTTCCAGTGCTGGGGATTAAACTCGGCACCTTGGCAAGGTAGGCAAGAGCTCTACCACTGAGCTACATTCCTAGCCCATTTCATATGTTTATTAGTCTTAATTATGATAGGAAACATGTTAGCATATAATGTAAGTAGTATCTCAGGTCACTAGGGGGAAAATAGACTTCTTATTAAAAGATACTGAGATAAAAATGGAAAAATAAAACTGGATCAATTTAATATATGCCAGAATAAATTCCAAATAGATAGGAGATTAAAAACATTTTAGGGAGGGGGGATGAAGGAGAATGGTGGAGGGGGTGAATTCAAATATGATATATTTGATACATTGTAAGAACCTTTGTAAATGCCACAATGTATCCCCACCCAGCACAACAATAAGAGAAAATAAAAATTTAAAGGAACTATACAAATACTAGGAGAAAATATGATGAAATCTCTATAACATAACAGAAGAAAAAATGCTAGCTAAATTACTTTAATTGCTTCAAAACTTCAGACATTGTTTGGAAACAGACTGATAGAATTGACAATGTCAAAGTAAACTTACACCCTAAGGAACATAAAAATACAAATGACAAACTAAGAAAATGTATTTCCAATTTATATCCAGTGGGTTAAGAAACCCAAAAAAGAGCTTGTAAAAATGTTACAACACACTAGTAACAACAACCCTATAGAAAAAATGGGCAAGAGATATCAACAAACAATTTTGAGCAAAATAAATGTGAATGGCCCTTAACATATAAAAGTCTACTCAAACCAACCCATAATAATATAAGTCAAATAAGAACTACAATTAGCTTCCATGATCCATTCCTCCATCATGTTGGCAAAAAGCGAGAAGTTGCCAACATATTCTATAGAAAAGGCTGGAGAAAGTAAACACTCATAAACATTACTGGTAATCCAAAATCACAGACAGGAATTCAGCAATATCTGCCAAAATGCTATTTAACCTTAGACCCAGATGTTCCATCTCTGCTTTTCACTGCAACATTTGTGGAAACAACCCAAATATCTATGAAAGGGATTTTTGTTTTGTGCTGAAAATCGAATCCAGGACCTCAGCGATGCTGGGCAAAGCACTCTTCCCATGTAGCTACATCCCAACCCCATAGTGGGGATTGATTTAATTAACTGAAAGTACATTCACACAATGCACGTGAACAGCTGTAAAAAAAGCACTAGGAAGATCTCTAAGAGTTAGTGAAACACACAAAATGAGAGAAACTATGCCTGGGATGCTACCATTTGTCTAACAAAAGAGGTCGACATGAATACATAGCTGTATCTTATCAAGCTACATAGTTCCAGACTGGTCTGGGCTGTTTTAAAAAATACATATTTTCTTCTAGGGGAGAAAACAGGATAAAAGGAACATGATAGAATATATTGTGAATTTGCATTCATTTTAACATTTAGCATAGTTATAAAATTTAATTTAAAATTGTTAAGTAATTCCTAATTTAAAAGCAAAGTGAAACAAATGAGCTAGTATTGATTGGGTAACATAAACACACAGAAAGGAATTATTTCAAGTGACTTAACAGTAACTTATATATATTCACATATATCCCTAAATGGATATATCCTAAAAACAAAATGAACTAAAAATTTTTAATTGTTTTCAGTAATGTTTATTGTATTATAACAGGGTTCTATAATTTGGATCTGAAATGTCCTTCAAAGGCCCGTGTGTTTAAGACTTGGTCCTGAGTTCCTGGTACAGTGGGAGATGGGTGGAACCTTTAAAAGGTGGGGCCTAGTGGTATATTTGAGGTTATTGGGAATGTGGGATGCTGGTCTTCTCTTTGACACTCCAGCATGAGGTAAACAGTTTCCTCCACCACGACTCCTGTCATGATGTACTCTGCCCAAACAACAGGTCCTATTGGTCATGGACCAAAACCTTCAAAATTCTGAGCTAGAATAAGTCTTTTCCCTTTTTAAGTTGATTTTTCAGGTATATGTTACAGTAATAGAAAGTTAACTAACTATAGTTACTTGGAAATTAGTTATGGAATAAAACAAGAAACCATTATGCTAACGTTATTAGAAATAATATTTTTAGTTTAAGAAAAAAACATACAATTATAAAAATGAAAAATGAAAAAAAAAGAAAAAGAAAAATGAAAGTGGTTAATAAAATCCTCTAACTTAACCTTTAGGTTAATGTTATCCTAAATTTGAATTGAAAAATATCAGTGCAACTTCATGATGTTTTCTTTAAAAATGAAAGATACATTTAAAAAGCCTCAAAACAATGACCAACCCACTATCAGTGGGCATCTAGCCCCTAGATTGTAATCTCTGAATACCATTTCCCAGGAAACAGGACTTCTTGGAGAACTAGCTAATTCCATGAACTAGACACAAAGACAAAGATGAGGCTGACCACATTTCCATATAAGAAAACAAGGAAGCTCTCAAAGATTGCCAGGGTTGTTTGCAAGGGACTCGGGAACATCGGAACCCCTGAATAAGCTCCCATTGACCAAATTTTGGACAAATAGCATCAAGAAGAAGAATAAATGCAATGGATTGGAATTCATCCAGTTTGTTAAATACTCACGAGTTAATAATGCTAAAAACAATCAGAACCCACCACTCGTTGGTTACCATGAGAGGATCCTAGAGAACCAACTCATTTTTCTGAATACTAATAATGGGAAAGAATCAAACCTTTAACCCTTTTCTTTAAGAACCATATTTCAGGGTAACTATTCAATGAGGGCTACTGTTTTCTTTATTGAGTCCTCCAGAAAATAAAGAAGTAATGATCAAGTTAAAACATTAAAATTAATCAGTGATCATCAAGGGCTCCATGGAAATTATTTAAAAATAGACAATTAGATATTATTTATCTGCTGACAGGATTACATAGCACTTCCAATCAAGTATTCTTCCCCTCTCCCCCAAAAAAACCTAAATCAGATCTAACTACAGATCTAACTACCAATCTACTGGAAATGCAAAGGCAAAGGGACTTATTTAAAAGTCACCATGGAGCTAGAGTCAGAAATACCTACACTGGAAAATTCCAAAGGAAAAATGGCACAATTTCATTAACAAATAAATTACAAGGGAAAAAATGGGGAGTGGGGATTTTCCACTAAAAGAGATTTAAAAGACATAACAAAAGACTGTGCCCATTTTGAAGATCTAACGTGTATTAACAATAAAAAGATAATGAGATATATTAGACAATGGGGGAATTTTGGATAGTTGATATTGTTAGTATTTTTTACATGTGACAATGATATGGTTATATTTTAAAAGGCTATATTTTAGAGATACATGCTGATATAAATATTTGCAGATAAAATAACAGGACTCCTGAAAATTTGGCTTGAAAATAATCAGAAGAATGGGTAGAAAAATAATCAGGGAAAGTCTAGATAAAATAAGATAAATTATGAGTTGATAACAATAGAATCTATACACATGGGAATTTATTACACTAGTCTCTACTTTCTAAGTTAGAAATATTTCTTTTTTATTAGTATATATTAATTGCATAAGAGTGTTTAATTGTAAATTTCCATATATGCATATAATGTCTGTTTGAAATTGTTCATAATGAAAAGTTGAAGAAAAACTCTGCTTAAAAATACTTCTTCCTGTCAAGATCTATATAATATGCCTCATAAAAATTCCTCTCCCATCCTTATTTTCCAGACTTTCTGATTACTTAGCATTTATTGTTGTATACTTTTCTGTATTTACTAATACATGTGTGTAAGTTTCTGTATTTACTTTTAAATATTGACATTTGTTCCCCCATTTTATTAGAATTCTGTGAAGGCAGAAATTATGTTTTTTGGTGCTTTTATAATATCTCTAAGGACTCATCCACTATTTAATTGGTGTTAATATATTTAGTGGTCACTGATTATGTCTGCAGCACTAGGCTATGTACAATGTCACTAAGATTTTCAACTGTCAATAAAGAACACATGATTTGAAACAAGAAACTTGTTTTGTGTTACTCTTCTAGATTTATTTTAATGAACTCAAAATAAGTTTGAAATTATTATATTTTTATTATTTAGAAACCAACTTTGATCCAGCAGAATGGGGAGCTAAGGTGGAAGACCGCTTCTATAACAACCATGCATTCAAGGTATAGTCCTGTTGTTGCGGGAAACCGCAGGGGAAACAAAGTCACCGAGACCACTCTGCAGGAAGCAGGAATTTTATTATGCTAGCAGACTCAGGGAAGATAAGTTGTCAAAGCCCTGAGCCCCAATCTGTGTCAGGGGCTCAGTTAAATACTCTCTGGGAGAGTTCTGTAACCAGGGGTTTTTTGCAGTATATGGGTCAGTTATAGGAAAACAAGTTGGTTACATAATTTTCCCCCCTACCTCCCTATAGAATGTGGGTACAGTTACAGAAAACATTGCGGGGCTGGCTGGAGTGTGCAATATTGCAGAGCTACCAGAAGTTGCTTACAGACTCAGAGTGGGGAAACCAAGGTAAATTCCAGACATACTGTAAATCCCAGAAAAATGGCAAAGCTGGCTCCAACACTGTGAAGCTACTGGATTTAGCTATTTTTTCTGTCTACAAAACAGAAATTATTAGGATCTCACCAGAATTGTGAGGCATTGCAAGTAACTTATTAAAACATTTTAATTGTGCTACTTTTTCTAGTGAGAAGTTCTAAGTGTCTGAATTAAGTACAGGTACTTAGCTTAAGTTTAAAGATGACCAACAAGAAGGTCCTTGAAAGTTATAGAATAGTTACTCCACCTTTTATTCTCCAAATTTTATCGAGCATCACAATGCTTAGCAAAAGCAAGTTCTTGAGTTAATGAATGTTTCATAAAACACTTAGTCCAGTTATTTAGTTATCATTTACATGTTCCAAAAGACTAATTAGAGTTAAAGATGGTAATGGTATGAGTTTTCTCTGTAAAACTAATCCCTTCAGAGACAGAACCTATTTCTCTCATTAGCAATATTCTCAAACACCGCCTTTTTCAGCCACGGAGCCTCTAAAACCTTAAGCTCTAAATTGAAGGCACCCATTGCATGTAAGAAATCAGTGTCTTGCCTTAGTATCTAACGTAATTTTAATTTTGCACATCTCTTGGAAGAAGTGAGAAAATCATCACTCAAAACATTCTGTGCTCTAGTTCAGATGAGGAAGACTGGTTGAGGAACTATGTGGGATTAGAATCATTGTCATCAACTAGGACCTTGACAGAAATTAAAAGTCTCAGCCCCTACCCTAGTCCACAAAACAGATCCCCACAGTGATTTGTAGGCACATTAAAATTTGAGAACATACTCTGTGGCATGCCCCTGTAATCCCAGCTACTCGAGGCTAAGGAAGGAAGATTGCTTGACCCAGAGGTCCAGGGCCTGCAAGGACAACACAGTGAGATCCATTTCAAAAAATAACACTAACAACTTTAGAACACCTCTAAACAACTGTGATAATACCATTAGATACAAAGCACCAACAGAAATTAGAATTAAGAGGCATTAACAAAATGCAGGTTTTGATGATGTTCTCCAGTAGATTTGAGGAATCTCCTGTAGAAGTAGCTGTCACTTATTCCATGAGTTCCAATATGAAGTTTCATCCATTTGTGCCTGCATATATGGGATTATTCTATTTATTTCTCTTTTACTAGATTCTCTGTGTTCATGTTTTATTTGTATTAATGTTTTATTGAAATCAAAGGGACAGTGTTGAAATGTTACATCCTTGTATCACACAGCAATTTCAGCATTTTTCTTTTTTTGAATTCTAAAGGCTCTATCTGATTGACTTATATGTCCTTAAGTTTCCATTCTGAATTAAAGAAGCTCTTCCCATGCATGGTGAATTAGCAATACCTCTATTGTAGAGGAAGACTTGAATAGCCTTATCAAAATTGACAGAGCTGGTCTCTTTTTGTATTTAAATCATTCTCTACAGCAAAACTTACTTCCTTGACTTAGTTTTTATATTAATATATATAAATTATACAAAATAATAAGTTTCATTTGGACATTTTCATACATGCATATAATGTACTTTGATCATATCCAACCCCCATTATCCTCTCTTACCTCCCTCCCCTTCTCCCTTTCATAATATTGACTTAGTTTTTTTAATGCATAAATTTCATTAAAAAGTCAACCTTACTTCATACCATGGAACACAATGGCATTTATTTTATAATGATTTTAGAAACTATTAGCATCTCTTTTATACTTCAGGATTCATTACCTTATCAACTTTTAGTATCGTTTTTAATATAAAACAATGGCATATACATTCCAAAAGCAGAAGAGCAAATATTTTTGCTAACTCCTTGGTCTTCGGATTTGTTTATACATATTCCCTTCAGAGTTTTGATTTATTGCTTCTTATTACAACATATTTTCTTTGTTAAAAGATATATAATTAATTCCCCCTACTTCTCAATAACATAATTTCTGATTACCCTTAAGCAATTTAATCCAAGATTTTGCTATTTTGAAAACATTGCCTATTTGGCCCTCTCCCCTCTTTCTAGGAGCAAGAACAACCCAAGAAATATGAACCTGAACAAGAAATGTCCCCAAAATCTGTGAAAAAGGAAGAGACACCAGCTACTGCCTTTGTATGTAATATTTTCCATATATTACTGGATTTCTACAATGAATGGCATCACTCAATTTAAAATTGTATGCCAAATGTGAATCAGCCTATTAGCTATATTGTTAAAATTACAATTTTGCCTTCTAGATAACTAACATCAGTGATAAACTAACTGCTAGGTCATTTTCAGCCCCATGCTTCTTATTAAGAAAACCTCATTCTTCCCTTTAAAATAAAATATAATTTTTTAATATTGTCAATGGACAGAAAATCTCCCCTTGAGGAAAGGCAGACAGAAGAACTCAGAGCCCCAGTCTTGTTCTTTCAGATTCATCTTCCACTTTGAGAATTTTTCACTAATTGTTTTTGTCACTACCACCCAAGGGCAAAAGTTCCAAGAAGAAGCAATGAGAAATACAGTCAAATAAAATGGTTTTACACAATGTGGCTTACTCATCTTCCACATGTGGGCCCTGTAAAAAACCTCAGCACTCAAGAGGTGACTGTGCACATTCCTCCCCAACTCCGTGTTCAGTAACATTGGGTTTTTGTTTTTTGGTTTTGGCTCAGGGCCTCATGCTTGCTAAGCAGGCACTCTGCCACTTGAGCCATGCCATCTGCCCTCTTTTGCTTTAGTTACTTTTCAGATATCTCGTTTTTGCTGGGGGCTGGCATCAAATCATGATCCTTCTACCTATGCCTCTGGCATAGCTGAAATTACAGGTAGGCACCACCACATCCAGCTTATTTGTTGAAATGGGAACTGCTAATTTTTTGCCTGGTGTACTCTTTGAATCCCAGTCCTCCTGATCAAGCAGTCTTCCTGTCCCAAGCAGCTGGGACAATAATATTATTTTAATAGCTTAAAGTTAGCCACTTGGGATATTAAGACTATGGCAAGTACTACAAATCAGAGCTTGTTTTGGGGGAGGTGGACAGGAGTTGGGTTTTTTGTCTGTTTATTTGTTTGTTTCGGAGAGCCAGCTATTAAACATTTATCAGCTTATCACCACCTATATTCTTCAAAGTCCAGACTCAGAGGACCAGGCATGATGAGAAAGAAAAACTTGCTCTCTACAATGTTGAAAGCCAAACTTCCGAGTTCCTTTTCATGCCCTAATATCCCAGTTAGATACCCAGTAATTGACACCTAAAATGGACATGCCCTTCAAGGAGTATCTTACTTCTCACACATTGTTCCCCTATAAGATTTACAAGTTATTTCAAAATTACATCAATACAACTCAGTAAGCCTAACATGGCATCAGATGTAATGGGAAGTCAGGGATGAAGGCAAGGGAGTGTCATTTCTTCATTGCTCATATTGTGGCATCATCTCAGAAGTTTTTATACCACTCTGTTTACATTTAAGAGTTTAGGAACTAAATTTGCCTCACTATTTGTTATGGGGACTGGGGGGAGAACGGAAAACCCCAAAGGCCCATCAATAGGAGAGTGAATGGGCTGGTAGAATGGCTCAAGTGGTAGAGCACCTGCCTAATAAGCTTGAGGACCTGAATTTTCAAACCCAGTACCACAAAAAAATAAAATAGAAGACTAAGTGAATAAATCAAAGCACATTACTACAATGGAATATGATAATACTAAAAAAAGAATGGGCAGAGTTATATAATAATTAATAACAGAAAAGAGAACCAAACCAGGCACCAGTGGCTCACTCCTGTAATCTTAGCTACTCAGGAGGCAGAGCTCAGGAGGACCATGGTTTGAAGCCAGCCCAGGGAAATAGTTCATGAGACCATATCTCAAAAATATCCAACACAAAACAGGGCTGGCAGACTGGCTCAAGTGGTAGAGTGCCTGCCTAGTAAGGATGAGGCCTTAAGTACTCCCAAAAAAGACAAAAACAAAAATCCTGCATTTTGGCATTTGTTGTTTGGTACATAAACAATGTGACAATATATGAAATTCCCTCAGAAAGCAACAGATCTCAGATAGTCACATCCTTGAATTGATTAAATTTATGTGTTAATTTTATGGCATGGAAAATATGGGATATTGAAGAAGTCTCTTTGACTTTTCTCCCTTCAATGAAGGAGTCTGAGGAAGAGAAAGAAAAGGAGGAGTTTGCTGCTCTCAAAATCCAGTCAGCCTTCCGGGGACACAAGGCCAGAGAAGAGGTAAAGAAAATGAAATCAGATAATCTTGAGAAAGGAGAGGAAAACGAGTGAGGACACTGGTTTTACTCCAAGAAAACATGAAAAAATAATCCAAACCCATTAACCTTGTTGTGATTGTCATTTTTTTTCTTAGTCAGTGAGATTTGATGTTGTGAAGTAACAATTGTTGCTGTTGTGAAAATCTGTCATGAGCATTTGTTTAATAAACATGCCATTGAAACATACCACTTGAAAATTTCCCTGAGATCATGAGAATACTTTATACTGGTCCCAAGTCTATGAATAGGCACCTTTTGATTCATCTATAGAACTGGAGTATGAGTTTTCAGAGATCTCAGAGGTTATGTAGTCTAACCATTATATAATGAATAAATTCTGTCACATCCCTGAAAAAAGTGATACTTTAGCTCCTGTTTCACTTCTAGTGATGAAATTTTTCATTTCCTTTCAAGGGTAGTCTATTTAAAAAAAAAAATTAGTAGTGCTGGGGTGAAACCCAGAGCCTTGAGCAGACTGGCAAGTGCTCTACTGCTATCACGGAACCACACTCCAAGCCTCTAATTTTTGAATAGCTTGAGTTATTAGATAAGTAAAAATCTGCCTCCTTATAAGTTTTATCCATTCATTTTTGTTTGTTATATGTGCATTCAACCATTTATTGAAAATGTCTTGAGCACCATTCATATAGTGGGATTTATAGTAGTGAATATTTGTTCTTTTATTCATGCAGCTTACAGTTTATTGTCTTGCTTTCCAATACCACACAGAACAAGATCATATTTGGAAAAAAAACTGTCATAGCATCATATTCTCTTTTTCAGCTAAAAGTTCTGAAGTCTCTTTAACGTGTAAATGTTAATACGTTTTTCACAAACTGAGACCTTTCATCACTTATTTTTTCAGTGATCCATTCAAGCTCTAAGTGCCTTATTTTTAGAAAACTCAGACTTTCATTTTTGAGACCTCCCCACTCTTGATTGTTCAAGAAACTGAGGATTCATGAAATAGACCAATCAGTGCAGTTTGCTTCCTAATAAGGAGGGGAGAAAATGGAGTCTTACCATTTAATTAACATTGTTGTTTTCTACTATAATGATAGAGTCCAAAAGAGGTGATGCCCTGGCTGGTTCTGATTTCTGTCTTCACCATATGGATGTCCCCTGTTTTGATTCTAGGATTACACCTCTTTAGTTCAAAGTAACCCAGCCATTATTTCCAAAGCTTAGTAACAAGCCTGGGTGGCTTAGTCCTGCAGAGCTTTTCAAACCAGCCTCATGTTACTCCATAACAAGTGCCATCCTCCAAACACTTAGATTTCTGCCTTAAACTCAGACATGTACTTTCTGTAAAGCAGTTTTGATTCAGGTGTTTTCATTGCCCTTCTCTGCCACTGACCATCATCAGACTCTACAACAGAGATTCACCCAAGTGATCCTCTCCACTCAAACATAAACCACTTATCTAACTCTTATAAAAGTTGCAGAATTCATTCTCTAATCTCCACTTACCTCAAGCAGTCTTCTTCCAAGGGCCTGCTGCTACTGCAGAGATACACACTAGCTAAACTCCTTCCTCCCCTTCCTCCCATCCTTAACCCCTCTCCTCCAGGCTTAGTGGGGAAAAAGTCAATTTTCCTTCAGGATCATAGGTGTTCACTCCCCTATTCTGCTCAAAGCACCAACTTCCAATGGCTTTTTTTTTTTTAATGGTACTGGGGTTATAACTCAGGGCCCTGTGCTTGTTAGGCAGGCAGTCTACCATCCTGAGCCATGCCCCCTCACCCAGCTTCCCTTCTTGAACAGAGCCATCCTACTCAGTGGGTTATCAGGGAGCCAAAAATTAAGGCAAAGACTTTGGCTTCCCTGTCTAGAGTAGAGACCAGAACAGAAAAAAGATTTTCATTAGCATATAACAAAGGGGGAAGAAGTTACCCATTAGCTTTTCTGTACTTCTGTATTACGTTGTGCTTTCCACATAGTCAATACACACACACATCTAATGATAATATCTGTGAAGAAGGAAAAGAAAAAGGCAAAGGTAGGGAGCCGTGGATATAGTATTATAACAAAACATACAAATGACGTTTGATTAGCACTTAATGAGTTTTCTACATTATCTCTCCTGGCTGCTGCTTTTCAATCTCCTTTGCTCTTCAACTTACCAACCACTAAACACTAAAGGGCCCCAGACTCAGTCCTTGGATCCCTTTTCACTACTCACTTGTCCATCTCATCTACTATTATGACTTTATAAAATATCTCCATTCTGACTACTCCCAGAACTTTCTCCCCTCCAGCTCCAAACTTGTATACCCAGCTACCTAGATAACCCCCCCCCCTATTTGGATGTCTATAGGTTTCTCAAAAGAAACATGCCTTCAATAGGTCTTGATACTGCTGCCCAACTCTGAAATTAACTCAGAGTTTCCCAGAAAATGGCCACTCTTTTCTTCCATTTGTGCAGGCCAAAACCCTCGGATTCATTCTGAACTTCTAACTTTTTCTCCCATCACATACACAATTACTAGCAAAACTTGTGGGCCCTATCTATAAAGATATATCCATCATCTGAGCACTTTTCATCACTCTCATTGTTAACCACCTTGGTCCTAGTTCTCATTAGCTCTGTCATGAATTATTGCAATAACCTTTATATTGGTCATTATTGCAACATTACTACTGCACAACCCATCCCAAAGCCAGTGATTTAAAATAATTATGTTTTTCCCACATGTCTTTGTGTCAGTAGCTGATGCAGGCTAGATTCCAACAAGGTTAGGTTCAGATATGCTCTAAAGATGAGAGTTTTCAGGTTGACTGGGGAAGTTCTGCTTCAGGCTGTGGGCCCAAGAAGGGTCAAATGCAGTGCCTTTACTTCATGTACCCTATTTGGAGCCCCCTATTTGGAGCCCATGCTGAAGGATGTGACCCAGGACAAGCTTTTCTCATTTTAGTCACAGAAGCAAAAGCAGGAAAACCCAACATGAAAATAGCCCAAGATTTCTTGCTCTTATCACTTAAACTGGCATCCCATTGATCAAAGTTGTCTGGCCAAGCCCAAAGCCAAGAGAATAAGGAAATCCACTGCTCATCATGAAGACATAGCAAAGGCCTCATGTATGCATACTACTACTTCAGGATAGGGAGAAATTGGGACAAATAATGCAATCTACCATAGTCTGGTCTCTTGGTTATAATTATGCAATCCTTCCATCATGTAAAATATACTCACCCCATTCCCAACTTCCTAAAAGGTCCATTGAACTTTGAAGTCCAAGAGCTCATGATCTACATCAGGTCTAGACATAACTCCTATTTATGCCAGCATACAATAAATGATGGAACTGTGACAACAAAACCACTAAAAAATGTAGAGCTTCCTAACTGTCACAACTAATTTCCTTGTTTCCACTCTCTTAGGGTTTTCCAAAGGAACAGAGCCAATGGGGTATATAGAAATATACAAGAGAGAATTTATTAAAGGAATTGGCTTTGCAATTATGGAGACTGAGAAGTCCCACAATATGCCATCAGCAAACAGGAGAATGAGGAAATACAGTGGTATAATTCAATCTGAGTCTGAAGGGATGAGAACCAGGGGAGCCAAAGATGTACCTCTCCATCCAAGGCCAAAGGCTTAAGAAACCAGGAAGCAAGGAGTGTTCTTGTATAAATCCTACAGTCTGAGAAGTCTGATAACCAGGAGTCTGATGTCTGAGGTCAGAAGATGAATTGTCCCAGCTCCAAAAGAGAATTTCACCCGTCCCATCTTTTTGTTTTATTGAGGTCCTCAGTGTCAGCCCACACACACTGGTGAAGACAGATCTTTACTCAATATATTGATTCAAGTAGTAATCACTCCCAGAAATATGTTTTATTAGCTATCTGAGCATTGTATAATCCATTCAAATTAACAAAATTACCCATCATGTCCCGTTTCCCCTTTTCGACACAGCAACCAGAGGATCCTTGTAATTTAAGTCCTATCTCATATCACTCCTTTGCTTAAAACCTCCACTGGCCACTCATTTCACTAAGAGTAAGAGCTAAAGTCTTCATAATAGTCTACAAAACCCTGTGCAGATATTTCCTCCTGTTACCTCCAAACCCATATTGCTTGTTCACTGGGTTCTAGGCACACTGGCCTCAAAGTTTGTCCTCAGATGTTCCAAGCATGCTTTCACCTCAGGGATTTTGTATATGTTGTTCCCTGCATCCCTGCCTGGAATGCTTTTTGCCAGACATTGTCTCATTCTTTGGGCCCTTACTCAATGAACAGTGACACTCTGGAACTCTCTTCCTAGAATAGTTCCACCCCCCCCCAAAAAAAAATAACACTCTCCTTACCCTTCCTTTTTTTCTCCTTGATTCTGAACACCAGCCAATATATCTGGTTCGCTACCTGCTTCCCCCTGGTAGAATCCAGGCCTCATGAAGATACAGATTTGTTATTCTGTTCACTGTTCAGTGCCTTTTTTACATGCAAAAGGAAAGGGTGAATCATTTCTAGTCATTTATACAGAAGAGAGAAGAGTCCCAACAAATATTTAATTTGCTTTTATTGGATTATACATGTATCCCTGAATCAATCATTGAGGCCATGAGAAAGGGATATGCTGATTTGTGCCTGTCATCATCAGAACATACCTTTGGAGTTGGAGGTCAGTTCTGCCCCCAAAAAAAGCCTGGCTGAAAGTACAACAAGTTTAAAATCCCCTGTAGAAAATAGAGTCATGTTTTCAAGAAGAAAGAATAGTGGCTACTGGGAGGGCAACCAACAAATATATACCACAATACCTTACCATATGGATTCTCCCTCACTGGGCTATTTAATAAATTGTCAAAACCAAAGGCTAGAGAAGTATCAAAAATGAAAGGAAGAAATTAAACCAGTGTTCGAAAGGTTAACAAGAGATGGGAATGTGGAAATTTGGGAGACTTGCCTCATAAATTTCACTGCTAATGGTGCTTCTTGGAGTTGTGCCATGAAAATAGGATAATCAAAAGAGAGATTTGGAGTTAGGAAAAAATGAAAAATCATGGTGGGAGGGGTGCTTCAACTGTTTCAGAAATACATGCAAATTTTTGTTCTGTAGGAAGCTAAGCGTGAG